TTTTTTTTTTTTTTTTGGAAAAAGAAAAAAGAAAAGAAAAAATGAAAGATAAGTAAAAGATATGAAAGAAATAAAAGAAATGAAAATAAATGTTTTTTATTTTTTTTTATTTGAGCATATAAGGCTAAAATCGGGGGTTTTCAACAGTTCGCCCTCTGGTGCTCCGTAGACAGGTAGTGGGCATCACTAATATCGAGAGAGAAAAGGCAATTGGTGCTTATATGAATTTGGCGACATATTCATGATGAAGCTGTTCCATTACTTTCATGCGGTCAAACGTACACATTTAGACAACGATCCCCAATAGAAGAAATTGGACGTGGCCAGCATGAGAAGTAGGAATAGTATTGATGAAAATTCCCTAAATGCGCATACAATTCCCTGGCGTCTGGCATTGATCGCCGCCATCGTGATACTCACTGGTTTCCCTTCAATTGCTGTGGCCAGTTTGCAGGACATGTGCCAGTGCAGGGGATACCCGAAGATGACTGTGCCTCAATATTCGAGCACAGCCATTTGGCTGACCCTCCAGCGGCCGGCGTGATGTTGACATTTTCCATACTAAAGCCCTTGCAAGGAGTCGCAGCACTACAATGAATTCCCGCAGCGACATTATAACGGCTCGTTCCAGTAATGTTGACCCAGCGTACGTCACTGATGCCCAAGCGGCTGCTATCACAACCAGAAGCGCTATAAATACACGGGGTCACATAGATGGGCTGGTCCACCTGGCTGATGTGGAAGTTGGCAAAGGTGATATTGCGGACTCGGCCCGTACCGGAATACGTCTTGATCCATGCCGCATTCGAGGAGTGTATACATGTGACATTGTCGAAGTAAACGTTTTCTACATAGTCTGGCTGGGATGCTTGGGACCCTATAGATCCAATACACGCACATCCAGACTCGTAGCACGTCACGTTGGACACGGATATATTTGTACTGTTGCCCTTCATGGAAATACAATCCTGAATGCATGCCGAATCAGTATTCCTCAACCTCAAGAATCATGCTTTGTTCGGACCATTGCTGGTCCGGTTATGACACCGTTGGGGTTTGACCTACATCGCCACATGTGACTGTCCAGTTTGCGATAACGACGTCCTTGGAGTTCCACGTATCGACACCGTCCGTGTTGACCGTAGACCACTGGCTGCTACTAGTAGCGTTCATATCGAGGTTTGTCATCGTGACATTTTGACTGTGTGCAACAAAGGTGTGCCAGAACTGCGACTGACGCCAAGAGATGCCATCGACGAGCACGTTGCGCGCGTTCCACAGCGTCAGCGAGATGGGCCGGCCGTTTTGGTTGCCCTGGTTCCGGTTCTGATCATACCAGAGTTGTCCGTTGCCATCAAAGAGCGCCCGGCCAAAGCCCAACATGGTGATGTCGTTTCCGCCCACCATCCACGCCGTGCTGCGGCCGGCGTAGGTCACCGAGATGCTGTTGCGCAGCCAGTACTGTATGTCCGAGGACCACTTGAGCGTGCCGTGAATCTCGATGGTGACATTGGAGAAGTCGGTTGTCTTCATGACCTGTCCAATGTGGAACAGTCCCTCGGCCAGCACGACACGGCCATTTTTACCACATTTCTTGAAAGCGTCCAAGATTTGTGGTGTATCATCGGGATCCTTGCCGTTGGACCCTGAACCTAGAGGTGTAACCGTGCAAGTTGTGCCATTAACGACCGAGGCCGACAAGGCCTTACTGGCCAAGCAAAGGAAAGACAGCAGCTTTGGAATCCTCATATTAGACAGGTTGCGGACAATCGTGAGACTGGGAAAAGCCATTCAGTAGCATATCAGATCGCCAGAGTTCTTTGACACGGTGCTGCCTCTGTCTAGCTGGATGCTAGGTTGTCATTATGAGATGATACCGTTCTACTCCCAGGGTGATGGGCAATATTGCGGACAGGAACTGGATCTGATTGTCTTGATTGACGCAATATAGGCCAGAACTATTAGCCGCCGAGACTATTCGGCTAATGACAGGAAGAGTACGAATCGAAGTTGCCTGTCGTAATGCACTGTAACCACGTAGGCATATGTGAATAGCCGGCAAGTTATGAAAGCACATGGTAGATGTCAATCGTACCAATGATCAAGCTGCCCACAAAAGGTCAAGGAGATGAAGGATACGGCAGCGACATGGGATATGTTTTTTTGTCCAAAGTTGTATGGCGCAAAAAGCCAGCAAGCACGAAGAGCAGGAAGAGGCACTTTGTACGCGCTGTACACCACGAGCTACCAGCCTACCTACCGACCTATAAACAGCCGACAGCGACGTTGGTGATGATCGCCGTTGGTCTCTGATCCTGTGAGATCAGCAGCCATAGGGCTGATAGCGGCGGGCCAGTGGGTGTAGGCAGCCTGGCAGCAGCATTCAAAGACACGAGATGACTGTCGATCATCTGATATGGCAAGGGTGGGCGCAGTAGAAATTTCTATTCAGCAACAGTTTCGAATTCGAAATAACGGCGAGGTGATTGCTCGGACCGGATCGACAAAACAGTGGCCGCGAGCCATCTTTCCAGAGGCAAGCGCCGGAAGTCCGAGCTCTGGCCCCTCTACAGATGGTCCGCTTCTGACTCGATTCCAAGCTTGGCGATGGTAGTCGCGATTACATGAAAGTGGCCCGAGTGAGAGGGAAATAAGGAAACATCTGGGTTGGTCGGGTGAATCATCAAGTGGTTTGCACTAGAATGTTTTTTTCTTTTTCTTTTTTTCATCCTACGGCTTCCTCAAGATGAGTCTCGCGTGAGTGAGATGATTTCTCATCTTCCTCTAGTCCGTACACGAAAAGATGAGAAAAGAGAAAATTATGCCATGCCGCTACGTTGTAAGATTGCACTCTCGGCTGCGTGACTCCTTTGCGGAAAATAGCCTGCGATATTTCCCAACTGAATCTCCGCTTCATTCCCACCCAAGCTAGGCGCTAGACCCCGCCAAAATCCGAGAAACTGGGAACGCTGTCACACCTAAATCCCTGAGCGCTCAGGGGTTCCGAGCTTGGCGAACAGTGGACTATCCTAGATTAGTGAGTTTGCTCCCCCAAGAGCAAGAAGAAAATGTTCCAAAAACAGAGTTGTGTATTTCCTATTTTTCAGCACTTGCCCGGACTATCTCAGATTGTACCTGCATTAAGTCGAGCTGCTCTGTCAGGGTCAGGAAACAGTTCGAAGGTTAAAGGCAATGACTTCATTATCTAAATGAGGTAGAGACGTCCGTATATTGATATTACTCCTCGGTCATCGTTTGGTTTGCCTTTGGCTGTGTATCACATAGCTCGAAATCCGTATTCAAGCGACAGACCCCGGAACCTCCATTCCTCGCCTGCTATCGCCAGAGCAGCTTGGCGTTCTGGTCCAATACACGCGCACGACGGCAAGGCTCGACAACGTGCAGGTGAGCATGTTTTGCATTACCGCTTCTGGGGTCGCTAACCATCAAGCGTATACCTACATGTACCTGACAAGTCTGCCTATGCCTTCAGGTCTTGAGACACTACAGAATGTAGTCTACCGGAATCCTCGAGCTCATTTTGTGATCAAGCCACATCCACAGGTGGGTGTTCCATAAGGAAGTTTGGCTTATTCCGAATCACATCCTTGGCCTGAACCCGCGCCGCTTCTTGACTTGGTGGATGACCTCTAATCACTGATATGTCAATGAGAAGCAATTGTTTCTCAGTGACCATCTTACCTGGCAGCTTGGGTACATACGCTACCAACCAAAAGTAGATCTTGATGGAATTGATCGGGTCCCAGTTTTCCTTCACCTCGACACGCAAGCGATATATGTAGCGGGACTCGCGGGACCCTCACAAGCTCTGGCCGCGTCGTCTTCGTTGCTGACGACGAGTCGGGGCTTACTGCGCTGCCAACTTCATTCATCAGCGACAGCCCATCTGCCGGGTCGCTCATACCCATGACATGTCGGTGATGAGAGACGGGGGATGTTGATTTCCTTATTAAACCACCTACAACACCACTGCTACGCTTAGCTGAACCCTCGGCGTCTGCGACAGAGATGGAAATCACTTCACCTGTCAGTGGAGATACACCAAGGAAAATGCCAAAATGCCACTCAGCACTTCCACCTTTTCTGAAATCGTGTCCCCACCTGTGACCTCGGCACCAAGGGAATCCTGGAAAGTCAACTGGGAACTGGCTCAGCCCACAGCCCGTTGGAACTGCGGATTCGTTTTCACGCCTGGACCAATTCAAATTCTACGGGGACCAGCAAGCACCAGCGTCTCATGATGCTGGGCGTAGGCGGCGCGATGGCCGTGGCGGCGCTGGTGGTGGGTCCCGACTGCGCTAGAGAAGAAAGAAAAGCAACGATTCAAATTCTCTAACCTGACCAACCTTGGCACGTTGCGCAAATTGTTTGTTCCTTTCTCTCAACAGTGTCTGCCTGCATACCTGTGCATCGTGTCGATCTTGGTAGCGGCCAAACTCATCGAAGCATATCATACATTCGGCACCAGCGAGCAAATACCATCTGTCTCTGCCCTTTCTCGTCAGCTTTTGTTCTGTGATCGGCAAAGGGCCGTTGGAGGGTCGATACTGAACTGTCATGGGCCGGCCAATCTAGACGTCACGAACTTTAGCCCGTCTCCATATCCTGTTCGCTGCGCCGAGAAACCAACCCTAGTCCGGAGAGGCAGCAAGCCGGACTCTCATCGCGTTGATGTCCTAGAACCAAAAAGCCTGGCAGCTCTACTACTACTACTGGAAATATACGTCGTTCTCCGCAAAGCCGCCCCTATTCTCGACAACCTGTTTAGAGTTCATACCAAGAGCCAAGTCCTTGGGCCCGTCCGGTGAGTCGGGGACTCGGGTCGAAGCGGATTGGACGCCCATTTTCTTGTCTTTAGAACCTTCCCTCCGCCAAGTCGCATAGTCGGGACTCAAACACATTCTTCACTTCACTCTCTCCCTCCCCAGCTTTCTTTTCAGGGAAAGGTCTTGAACCACCTCGGCTGGTGTCCGAGAAGATATTTGGGACGCGCATTTCCACAAAATTTGCATCAGGCACGGTCGCTTTTATTTTGGCTTTTTACACTCCTTTACCAAGCCGTCGACGTTCCTTTCTTATTGCGGGAGTCTTGCTGCACGCTCTTTTGAACTCTCCCACTCATTCGCTCACTCACTCGCCCACTTGATTCATTTGATCCCAGTGTTGGGCCTCCCAACAACTTGGTCTTTCAGTCCTTCCATCATATTCGCAAACGATTTTCCTCGAACGATTGCAAAACTATAGGTGACGTAATCATGGGGTTCGCGTTTCGTGGCAAGGGCAGCGCCGCTCTGGCCGATGAGTCTGCCTCAACCGCTACCGGTATTGCTATTGAGATCGGCGGAGAAGAGGTCCACCCGGCAGCCGGGCTGCGGAAGTTCAAGCGCATTCACAAATGGGATCCTTTCCTCGACATTCAGAAGCTCGACGATGTTGATCATGCCCTGGCGACTGGAGATATTGAGAAAGAAGCTGCCATCGAGGGCGCTCTCCTGGTCGAGGACTCACCGTACCCCGAAGTGCGTGCTGCTGTAAGTACCTAATCACCAACCATGAATAGTGGTCGCTGTGCCGGAGCCTGACATGTATATCAGGTTCATCCCACCGATGATAGCGACCTTCCAGTCAACACAATTCGCGCTTGGACGATAGGGTTTTTTCTCTGCACCATCGTGGCCGCTTGCAACATCTTGCTCGGACTGCGCCGTTCTCCAACTACCATTTCGTCTACCGTGGTTCAGCTCATCGCCTATCCGATTGGGCGAGGATGGCACGCAGTTGTTCCATGCAAGACCATCAGGCTCTTTGGTCATGATCTCGAACTCAACCCTGGGCCCTTTAATGTAAAGGAACACACGATTATCACGATGATGACGGCTGCCGGCGCCACAGTCAGCTACGCTATTGATATTCTCCTGGCTCAGGAAATTTTCTACAATCAATACTTTGGATGGGGATTTCAGATCTTGTTGATCATCTCGACCCAGGCCATGGGTCTCGGACTGGCTGGTGCTCTGCGCCGCTACTTGGTTCAGCCGGCCGCAATGGTCTGGCCTGCCAACCTCATCTTCACTACCGTCATGAACTCGCTGCACGACCATTCGCCTTCCGATCCGTCGACGACCAATGGCTGGCGCATAGGCCGCTTCAAATTCTTCCTCATTGTTGCGCTTTGCACATTCTGCTACGAGTGGATACCCCAGGTCATGGCAACTTTCCTCCAAATGTTTACCTTTATCTGCTGGATCGCCCCCGAGAGCGTCGTCATCAATCAGGTGTTTGGTGGCCAGACCGGTTTGGGTCTTGTCCCCATCTCGTTCGACTGGAGCGTCATCACTGGGTTCTTGCTCAGTCCCCTCCAGACGCCTGCTTTTGCCATCTTGAACGTAGGCGCCGGCATTTTGTTCATGATGGTAGGCTGCATTGGCCTTGCATACGCCGGACCCGAGTTCATGAAATACCTACCGATTAGTGCCAATTCCAACTTTGATCACTTTGGCCAGTCATACAACACCAGCCGCATTCTGACGGACGAGTATACTTTTAACCAGGAAGCCTATGAGGAGTACTCGCCCCTGATGCTCGGGCCCGCCTTTTCGTTGAGTTATGGCATGTCATTCGCCACGCTCGCCTCGACCGTTGTTCATGTTGCCCTTTTCTATGGGCGCGACATTGTTGCCCGTGCTCGTAATGCCCGGTTTGAGGAGGGTGATGTGCATTTGAAGTTGATGCGCAGGTACAAGGAAGCGCCCGGATGGTGGTTCTTCATCGTCTTCATCATCAGCTTTGCTTTCGGTATGATCGCCTCGCAAGCCTGGCAGACACACTTGACCTGGTGGGCATATATCCTCTGCGTCATCATCGGCGTCGTCTTCATTCTGCCCGTGGGTGTCATCCAAGCCGTCACCAACCAGCAGGCCGGGTTGAATGTTATTACTGAAATGGTCGTGGGCTACATGACGCCTGGTCGCCCAGTTGCCATGATGCTTTTCAAGAGTTGGGGATACATGCTTGCTTGCAATGGTCTCGTTTACGGTACGTGTTTTTGAAATGGATAATAGATGATGAGCGAGCGCTTGCTGACTTGCAGTCTAGTATCTGACATGAAAATCGGCCACTACATGAAGATTCCACCCCGAAGCATGTTTGCTGCACAGCTCTTTGCCGTGATCTGGCTATCCATCGTTCAGGTCGCTGTGTACAACTTTCTGCTGGGTAATATCGAGGGCATCTGCACCTCGTCACAGCCCAACGGGCTGACGTGCCCCCACGCAAAGACGTTCTACAACGCCTCGGTCATCTGGGGTCTGTTGGGGCCGGCCAAGATGTTTGGCATTGGTCAGCTGTACTCGTGGGTCAACTGGTTCTGGCTCATTGGTGCCGGTCTACCCGTGATCCAGTATTTCCTGGCTATGCGCTATCCCAGGAGCTTTTTGCGTTATGTCTTCTTTCCTGCCATTTTTGGTGCGGCCGGTATGATCCCGCCCGCGACGACGTGGTACCTCGGCCAGTGGGTGATTGTCGGTCTGGTCTTCAATTATGTGATCAAGAGAAGGTTCTTTGGCTGGTGGACTCGCTACAACTACGTGCTGTCGGGCGCGCTCGATATCGGAACGGCCTTGTGCATCGTGGTTTCGGCCCTCGCCCTCGGCCTGAGCGGCGCCACCTTTCCCGACTGGTGGGGGAACCTTGTTTGGCAGCAGAACCTCGACAGCGAGGGTACAGCTGTGTCAAAAGTGCTGCCCGACGATGGCTCATTCTTTGGGCCAAGCCAATGGAGCTAGACGAGACGGGAGACTGACGACACGACGCGACATGTTGAAACGAGATTACGGACTTCGCTCTAGCCATTGATTCTCAAACGGCCCGATCACCTCTACACCCACCAAAGGAGCCTGGCAAGTCGTGTTTTATTAGTAGTTGATATATACCCCATTTCTTTTTTCGAAATATTGCCAAAGGGGTGGGATAGTGGATCGATGGGTTATCTAGTTAGCTGAATTGATGACTGTTTGAAAATACAAATGGAGCATCAAGACCAAGAAATGGTTGTGTGAAAATCACTACGTAGTGCAGAATGTCGAACTGCAGGAGTTGATGAAGAGGCTCTGCCAAAGGAGCCACGTGCAAAGCGCATGCCGAAACCCGATCGGCATGAGATTCCGGTGGAGTGAGCGACCCGAAGAATTGGATCATTTGCAATGGTTGTAGAGTCATTTTTACTACTAGTCACAAACGGCCATGGAGTCTCTGTGTACTAGGCTCGAACGACAACGACAACAAAAGGCTTGAATTGCGCACGTGGGCAAAGTGGCGAGAATTATTGGAGTTTTAGGAGATGGAATAGAATCCTGGGGAACGGGGCCAAGTCGGGATCCCATCCGACGCACCATGTGGGGGGGCCCAAGCCGGGAGGCGCCTTTGGCGGCTGCTCATCTTTGCTTGTCTGTCTCCTTGGCAGGGCAGAGCAGGTCAGGACGAGATGCAAGGGCGAGCAACACTAATACAACTAGGTTAGATGGTTTACATCTTGTCTGAGACTGACAAGTCAAGATATAGACAGTGTGAGATTGGCATTCGAAGCATTACGATTTGTGCGAGTCCTGCCGAACCATTATGCTGCCATACCTGTTCCCAATGGCTTGGTTCACTGCTGCGTGCGAAAAGAAAACTGGAGACACTGCGCCATCAAGGATCAACACGTGCTGCCTTCAGTGGGCACAGTGAGTCTTTGGATATACACAGACGTCTACATGGTTTCAGGCATTGTTATCTACCAGAGAGAGAGACCGCAGACAAGAGATGAAGACAGAGAGAAAAGATGGGCCCGGTCCGATCTTTGAAAACGCTTTCAAGAAACGAAACCAGGATGCCGATGCCGCCGCATGTACTCTGTAAGTGACTTGAAACTTTGATGTATACCTACCTACATACTTACCTAGGTACATATGTATGTATGTGCATGACATGGGACTAGGGATTTGCTCCAAATTATGATTTCCCTTGCGCAGTCCTTGCCCGGTTGAGAACAATACTAGTTCTAGGCGCCATGATGATGAACAAAGACAATCAATTGCCCAGCCATCCTCGGTCGACTTGCCGTAGTCGGCAATGCAGCTCCTCCTGCACCAGGCAAAGGGGAACATGGGTTTGCTGCATGCTTAGACCTGGATATACCTGTCCACGTGCTCGTGTAACTCAAGCCCGTGGGAGCATTGAGGACTAGTACTTAACTTTGCTCGTCTGCACATTTTCCTTCGTCCTCCATCGTGGAATCAAGCTGGACTATCTCCATCTCGTGGGGTGCTTCCTCTGTTGATCCCGAATCGCACTGTCCGCTTTTGAGGGTAACTACGAGCTGCCAACTAAACAACAGAAACCTCGATCCCCAGAAAATTGTATCGAGTTCAGTTGCCCTCCCAGAGTGGCGAACCTGGGCCTGGCTAGGATTTGGGCATATTTCAGTCATACCCATAATAATCAAGGGCAATGGCAGACCAAGGACCCATTGTCGACATTGAACAGGCTTCCGCCTCTGCCCAAGCCGCTGAAAAGCATGGAGATGTTGTGTCGCCAAATGCTGTCACAGCAGTCGACTCCAAGGACCCCGCAGCACCGTCGGCACAGGTATCCGGGAAGCGACAGAAATTGTCCGATCTCTTCACCATTATTGCTGCCGGTGCCGGATTGGCTTCGGATGGGTGAGTCGCCTGGTTGAGAACAAGTGGTTTCCCTAATTTCAAAATGGAGCTAATGATGCCTCAAGATATCAGAACAACTTGATGTGAGTAGGCCATCCACCTGTCGACACGTGTGGTCGCTTTACTGACTTATACCTTTCAGGACCATGCTCAACGTGCTCTTCACACAGAAATATCCCGACGTCTACACTTCGGCAGTCAAGACGCAGGTCTCAAATGCTCTTCTCGTTGGCGAGGTCCTCGGCCAAGTCGTGATTGGCTTCACTTGCGACTACCTGGGACGCAAGTTCGCCATTGTTCTCACTACTCTGATGGTCATCCTCGGCGGTATTCTTGCAACTGCTGCTCATGGCACGACCACGCTCGGCATGTTCTGGATGCTGACAGTGGCCCGCGGCATTGTGGGCTTTGGCGCTGGCGGCGAATACCCTGCTGCCTCGACGAGCGCCAGCGAGTCCGCCAACGAGCATACCTTGAGGAATCGCGGACCCATCTTTGTCTTGGTCACCAACCTGCCCTTGTCGTTTGGCGGCCCGCTCGCCGTCATCATCTTCCTCATTGTCATCTCGGCTGCCGGAGTCACGCATCTCTCGACCGTCTGGCGGGTTTGCTTTGGAATTGGCTGCATCATTCCGCTCGTCATCTTCTACTTTCGAATCAAGATGCTCAACTCGAAACTTTATCGTCGAGGTGCCATCAAGAAGAAGGTGCCGTATCTTTTAGTTTTCAGGTACTATTGGAAGGACTTGATTGGTACCGCAGGAGCGTGGTTTCTGTATGATTTTGTGAGTCGACGAGCGTATTATTGGTTGGATTTTGATATTGATTCCGCATAGATTACCTTTCCCAACGGCGTCTTCTCTGTAAGTGTTGCAAATTTCTCGATCGCTCGTTGATATGTCCAATAGATGAAGCCAATTTTCAGTGAGCTTTTCTTTGCTAATCCGGATCATTAAAGGGGACAATCATTTCCAGCGTCGTCAAGGGCTCTAATATTGTCAAAACTGCAGAGTATCAGCTTCTACTGGGCGCCATCTCTCTTCCGGGCGTCTTCATCGGCGCATTCCTGTGTAACAAGATTGGCCGTCGCAACACCATGATGGTCGGGTTCAGTGGCTACCTCGTCTTTGGGCTCATCATCGGCTGCGCCTATGACCAAATTACCAAGATCATCCCGCTGTTTGTTGTCTTTTATGGCCTCATGCAGTCATCGGGCAACCTAGGACCTGGTGACATGCTCGGTCTCATCAGCAGCGAGTCTTATGCCACCGCCGTCCGCGGCACGTGCTACGGCCTCTCGGCCGCCATTGGCAAAGTCGGTGCTGCTGTTGGCACCGAGGCCTTTACGCCGATTCAGACCAACCTAGGCAAGCGATGGACGTTCATCATCGCGGCCATCTGCGGCATTACGGGTGTCATAGTGACGCGCATCTTTGTGCGCGATCTTAGGGGCGAGGATTTGAGAGAGGAGGATGAGAGGTTCAGGGCCTATCTCATCGCAAATGGCTGGGACGGGGAGATGGGAGAGGAAGATCTGAAGGGGCTTGCGCAGGAGGGAGTTGAGCCGGCGCTTGTAGCCGAGGTCGAGCACGAGAAGGGCATGAAGCACTAATGTGGCGGTTGCCTCTCTATATTCAGTTGGCACGAACAAGCTGGTGAGGTCCCGACTCATTGGATAATCTCATCTGGTTGTCTACAATTAACAGGAAATCACACAAACTCCTGCATATGCTCCATCACGGATTAAGTTCCTTGTCCTAAACGCACTAGATCATATGGTCAAGATTACAAGTAAGAATGCCCCTGTCTACATGAATCAGACCATATCTTGTTGGTGTGTGCATTTTTTGAGGTGATATCTTCAACAGTTTGGCTTAGCAGGTTCACCTGTGGAAATCGCTAGCAGACTGTTGATTATACTTGCGAGTTGTCCTCGCTGACCGGATCCTTGGTTCTGCGAATTCCTTCAAAGAAACGCCTTTCTTCAAATATGCGAATGTCATCTTCATAATTCGTCCTACCATCCCGGCGCGCTTGGTTCATAATGCGGCGAACCCGGAGCACATCGTACTCAGTGTTCCGAGTGAGCCACCAAGTCCAGAGATTGCTCACAAAGCCGGCAATGATGGTTGAACCAGCGATGGCGAAACTGTTCTTGTAACCATTATAGGCCCATCGGGACTGGAACAGCTGTGGGCCAATTACACCGCCGAGCTGTGCAATTCCGCTCTGCAGCCCTAGGGTGAAGGCAGTCCCTGTCGAACCAGACATGGTAGCCGATCGCCAAGCCCAGAAGGGGATGAAGTAGGTCTGATAGAACAGAGACCCAAGTATGCAGCTAATGTAGATACCGACGTGGTTGCTGATGGTGAAGAAGAGGACGAAACATGTGACCATGCCAGCCATTATAATCCTAGCATGGGCATCAGCGGTTATTTCATTCTTGATGGCAAAGACTATTCACTCACATGATAAGTGCTGGTCGTACAATGATTGCCTGATTCATAAGCCATGCCGAGAACAATATTCCACAGATTGCTGCCACAGCCGGTGGAATGTTTAGCAATTGGTTCCTTGGCAGTTCGGCGAAACCCAGATTCGTGATGATGGTCGGTAGAAACCAGGTGAGTGCGTAACCACCGATGTTTACCAAGGTCTGTGATAACATGAAAGACCAAATAAGGACTCTTTTCAGGACTGCCAAAATTTCCTTCTTGGAAAAGGCGGGATCGTTGGTGAGCGGTGCATTCTCTGGCAGTCTCGCCTCGATGAACTCTTGCTCTCGGGCCGACAACCAGCGATTGCTGCGAGGCGACTTGGGGTAGTCGGGTAGAAGCCAGAAAACGAAGCCGGAGAAGACAATCGTGGCAAGACCCTCAATGAGAAATACCCATCTCCACGCACTGATCCCAGCGACTCCATTCATGTAGCTCAGACCATAACATAGCAGAGAGCCGACGATGGGTGCAAGGGAATTGAAGACAAAAAAGATGGCGACTGGTGTGCCCATTTCGTCGGTCCGATACCAACTGGATAACTGAGCCAGAACTCCGGGAAACATGCCAGCTTCGAACATGCTATAGGCTGATGAGGGTTTGCAAACGACCGGGTATATCGATGGGCTATGCTTACCCGAGCAAGAACCGGACAGCGTACAGCTGATCCCTTGTCTGTACCGCAGCATGGCACGCAGTTATGACTCCCCACGTTAGAAAGATGCGAGATTGCCACAAATGTGGACTCATGCGCTTCAAAAGCAGATTACTCGGCGCTTCAAAGATGATGTATGCGATCTTGACGAATATAAGTGACTTTTCCCAATAGAACACAGGGGCATTTCTCGTGACTTACACCATAAATGGACCCAACCCAGTTGTACTCGTCTGAAGTCATTCCCAACTCGGCCATGATGTTCCTCGGCTGCCCGACTTGGAGTACCCTGATATTGGCAGCATTATTCGTGTCCAGCTGTATAATGTCTGAGTCTCTTTAATGTAACTATACCCGGGTCACCTGGATCCTACTTACCGATTTGATCATATACATGATACCAATTAATAAGAAAAAGTGGCGGCTCACTTTTCTCATGATTCGCGTCTCTTCATCCGCGTCAAATGTTGCTAGAAACTGAGCCTTGGCCTCTGGGTCATCCCGCAAATTCCCAACCTCGCCCCTCGACACAGTTGCGTCGACTTGTTTCCCGCTGGAGACTGCCGCATCATGGCTGATTTCAACCAGACCGGAATGATTAGCTTGGTTCATATCGGGCAGCTTCAGAGACCAGTTGATGAGCAAGGAAGACTGTTGTCCTTTGGGCCATTGTGAGGTGCAGCTTTGCGAAATAGCTTTATGTTCAACTTTATACCTGCCGAGTCTCAATATGATGGATACATGTCGGCCGAGTTGTTCCGTTATAGTGGGACTTTGCATAGGTAATATAGTTCTGGGTTGATGTCGTGCTCATCAGTCTTTGTTACTAGTCAGGTATATGAGCATCCAAAACCGTTATCTCGCAGAGTGGACGACATGTCATCTGTCGAGAAAGTGTGGGCGCCCTGTATCGCTATTGCTTGGACAGCATACTCATCTGCCAGGACGATGCACTGATTGGTTCCCAGAAGGGGCCAGGTCGGGATGATGAAATACAACCTAGCTCTTTCACCATTACTTATACTGTGTATATTGGTGCTCAAGCATAGTGTGTATCTTGCTAACAATGACACAATCGCCGCTCGATATTTCGTGAGTATATCTCTCTGTCATTATATAAGAAGACTCACTTCCGACTCGTAGATGCTTGTCGAAAGCAAGATTCGGCCGACCCGAAACATGAGGGAAATGATGGGGTGCGGGAGCATGAACTGTGACTCAATAATCATCGAATGAATTCAAAGCCGAGATATCAATGCTGGTAGTGATGTGTGCCATCGACTTCTCCTAGAACAGTCGACAGGAGTTACGTTGCGGGCCTTGGTATTCCGTGAGCGCCAAACGCTTTTCTATACAAACACCACAAGCCTTGGATTAGTAGTGGGCACGAGCCCATGCGCGATGGACATTGGGAAATGTGGTGCATAATACTATATTCCATGGCACTAGTGTTGAGTTTTGGGGGATCGTATCTCTTATCTGAGTAATGAGATGACGATCTCTTTGGAGTTGACGCCAGGAATGGTTTATGGTACTAGACTACACCACAGTACTTGATGGTATAGTATAAATGGATAACAACTTGCCTATTGTCGCCACTTGGTGTAGCATGCCTTTGGAAAGTCCTGCAAACGCTTTGTATAATTTCTCGGAAACATCTCGGCCGAGCCGGAGACGTGATCAAATTACAGATCTACCTGGAGCCCTGGACTGGGGACGAGCAGATTGTCGAAAAGCGGTCAGACACAAAACGCAGTGTACCATGTATACGGGCGGAATGCAGCGTTCGTGCAGCCAAGGGCATGGTTCAGCAATAAATGGTACACTAAATATTATCATCATGCAAGAACAGGCAGCGTAGAGCATGGTTGGGGTTAGGTTCTTTGGTCGAGGAGCGTAGAATGGACAGGGACCGACTACTGTGTACAGATTACTTCACATCTAAATGAATGCCCGTTTAATGGGATACTTGACTACTGCAAGACATGGCAAGGCGTAGGCAGAGCACAGCAAGTCACCCGTGCACATTGACGTTGCATGGGCGCTTTTGTTGGTCACCAACAAGGAACGGTGCATCGTGAATTGCGACAAGTTGCCTTCAAACCAAGGTGGATTATGGGAGGTCACGAATGGGCAATTTTTTGTGAGCTGTCGTTCCGGGGGTGCGCACGGTAGCCAGGGTTAACCATGTCGGGCCCTTGACAGGCTGGGAAAAGATGGGAACCTGTATCGATTCTCGCTGGCTGGCGTCAGTGGGTTCCCATCGTGCGGAGACGATTGTTTTTTTTCTTCTTCTCCCATGGTTTGTTGGATTTCTTCTGTACATTCGTTACAGAGTACACAGCCAGTTCAAGGTGCACTCAGTAGGGCGTTCCATGGTTCAAATGGTGTCACTGTGAAATGTACTAGTATTGTGTATGTCTTTGTCTATTTATACCTGTCAGACAGGATGGAGGCGTAACGAGTACAAAATAGGCCGAGTATAAAAGTGTAATGGCTAGAGTTGCTACTAGCCAACTTGACCCGATGAACTATGCATCAGCAGCAGGAGAGAGGACGAGAGGTGTTTTTCTTTCTTTCTTTTTCTTAAAGATGCCCTGGAAGAGATGTCACGAATAGATGGGACAATGCTGACTTTTTGTCTGGATTCACCAATGCCAAAAGTCATGCTCATGTTGTCTTGGGTCGGCTGGCGACGGCGTATCCATACATAGATGAGCAACCATGAAGTGCTCTCCAATTTGCGCGCGAGATGGGATTGGTCGGCTCGGGAGGTCGTGTGCCTGGCATTCGAGACTTGCAGACGGGACTTGGCTCAACCGCGCGGACGGAAATTTCTGCCATGGCATGGAAAACAGCATGGGATGGAAAATATATGTGTCGATTATTGATGTACGCACTACCTGCCGAATGCCGCAATTCTGCACATGTGTCCAACAGATACACTGCATGTAGTGCCGCGAGAGAGGGGTTCAGCAAACGTCTTTATCTTTTCTCACATAACTAAAACATGAGTGTGTGGCAGTAAACGTATAAAAGTTATGTACCTAGATATTGAACTCTTTTCTATTATAGTTTCTTCACGGTGGCTGCCAACATGATGGTTGTCTTCTTTTTGTTGTTGTTTGTCCACGATGTCAATCTTGTATGACGGCATGAATGGAACTCACGATGCTCAATACAAACACTGAAATTTCTGAGGGTGTACGCGCGCTGTGACAGGTCTTCATTGTTTGTGATGCTATGCTGTACGTAATATGAGATGCCGAGATGATGACTGCAGTTAGTCCCGGTAATATATGTACGTAGGTACTTTGTACGAAGAGTACGAAGCTGAGTACTTTGTATAATACCCAGGTTGGCAAAATGCCGATGAAATCTGTCCTAAATTTTCCGGTCGTGTGACAAGTTGCTGCTTGATTGCCTAGGTGCCATGCTAGACAGTGTATTATCAATGTTATATATATGCATCAACACGTCCAAATTATGTACCCAGCATAACGGATCACACATATTTTGCCTTGTAGAGTATTTTCTGGCGATGAGAAATGCAGTTTGGAAGTGACAATAATTTGGACCAGGGGGCCAAGTCAGGTGCGCGCGCGGACTGGATCTTGCCTGGCGATGATGGAGGGGTCCCTGACCATGGGGTGCCTCTTAAACAGGGGAGCTCCTGGGGCCAAAACAAGGATGGTGCGAATCGAAAAAGGATAGAAATTCGTTTTGAACGAATCGCGGCGCCAGCAATGACAGACAGCTGCAACTCGCGCGAGTCGAGTCGGGTCGAGTCAATTTAGAGGCCGGAGCTCTTGCCCCCCGACCAGCCCAATGTTGATCTCAAGGAAGGGTTTTGTCAGTGGCCAGTCCTCCTCATTCCCGTCTCTGGTTACGAGGAGGCAAATTGACAGTCCAACGGTCTCACAGATCTGATGCTGAACCACCATGTATATAAGTTGGTCATGAAGGTCAAACGGTGGCTGTTGCATTATTGTCACGCATAGAGAAGACAGACACACGATCAACCGCCGTCGACTTTTACTCCATCCCCCATATTAATGATCTGGGATGGGAGACAAGGAGGTGACATTGTATTCATTGTGAATTTATGATATCTATTCGTATATCGATCGATGCTTGAATTCGATACAGATACAGTACCTTGCCCTGTCAGACTGACAAATTTGACCTGTAATCATGGGAGAGTTGAAAGTCATGATAGATAGGTACCTAACCTAGCTACCTGTACGGTAGATACACAACTCTACGGAGTGTTAGCTGCTCGAATCCACGATACTATGTGCACTCTACCTAAACTCGTTCACGAATGGTACTGGCTCGTTACCGTCTCCCTTTCTTACACACGCTCAACACAATGGAACCGAAAGATATACTCGCCCAACAGCCTTGCAAGATTCACAGTCTTTTTCAGTCCTCTAGAATCTACGATGACGATGGTAGTCTTTGCTCATTGAGCCGGTGCCAGAGGCTAACAACTTCCCGCGAGAAGCTCCACTGGATTTTACTGCATATCGCCAACAGGGATCAGCGGCAGGGAGAGCAGGGTGGAGAAAGAACTGCAGGGGGGATGGACGGTAAGGAAGGGGGGGCTTGAGGGGGGGTTAACAGACTCTAGCGCCCGTCGAGAACAGAGCTTGTCAAGCTGTACCTGTCGGTCAGTTTCAAGCCTTTCCCCTCTCCCCCAACACATGCACCTTGCAAAGTATTGATGTGTAAGGATGTAGGTACCTGTAGTAGGTACTTACCATAGGTTGGGGTAGGTAAGGGCTACATCTTATGTACTACAGCTCTGATGACCACTTTAGCTACCCGAGTACGTACATTACCTATTGTACATAGCTGGTAGAATGCATGTCAACCCTGGAAAGATGATGCCCGCTTTAGTCGCTACCTTTAAACACCTCTCTCAGATTGATATAGATGAGGAGGAGTAAAAAGAAGACGAAAGCATTCGATTTAGGGTACGTCCATGGTTGTCGAACAAAGTTTCCTGTGCGTCACGACTGTTAATAGCGCAGTCAGCAGCGCTGCAGTGAACAAAGTGTGCGTGTCTTAATCGGGTCGCCCCATGAATCTTGAGCAGCAAGTACGATGTAGAAGACCAGAAAGAAAAAAAGATTTCTCTCATCATCCCTGTCGACTGATGTGTTGGTAGATGCATTGACAGGCCTCACCCCTGTACTACGGGTACACCTACTACCAAGCTCTGTTTGCACCTTTCTGGGAGTTCTGCTGGGGGCCGGCCTGGGCTTTTTTTTTTTTTTTTTTTTTTGGTCCTCCCTCTTCCCTCGAGCCGTCTCAAACCTTTGCTACTGTTAGATTCCCACAGGAACCAAACGCCAGCCCAACCTTCCGCAACCTTCTCCCCCGGATTTCCCTGTGCTTGTGCTTGTGCGCGCACCCCCCAGTCAAGCTCTGTACAGCACGTACAGTAGTAGCAAAGCCAATCCTGCACCGGCGACCAGACCGACGCATCAACTATTCTTTTTTTTTTTCCTCTTCCCACTTCCTGCCCTTCCTTGCTCATGCTTTAACCTCGAATCCCACGCTGTGGACTACTGCATGCTATTCTCGACGTGTTTGTCTTATTTGCATCTCACTGTTAGCCTCCTTTTACCTGTGAGACACATGGACGACTCCGTCGCGAATATCATCACGTCGACGACCCTTCCACCACCCAGCCGCTCCTCCTTTGGCCCTGCGCGCCGACACGACCCCGACGCTGACGACGTTGACCCTGCATCGCTGTTTTAGCGCGCCTCCGCCTACACAGCACACCGCACTTGGAGCAGAGCGAATAATAGTAATAATAATAGTCTGGCTGGTCTGGTTGGGTCGTGGACGCAACTGCAGCAAAAAAAAAACCACACACAGCAGTTTAATTTGAAGCTAAAAATCGTACCGGAGCTTTTTGTTTCTGCTTCTCACTTATCCACCATGGATCCGAGACAGCAACAGCATCAGCACCACCACCAACATCCACATCAACAACCACCTCCTCCACCACAACCCCAAGGCGCCAACCCTTTCGCGAGAACCATCGCCTCTCCTCCGGCACAATATCGCCGCTCGCCTTTCCCGCCCGCTCAGAACTCCGCCAACTCAGCGCATTTTCCACCTCCTGCTTCACATTCGCAATCTCATCCGCCTTCTGCCAGTCCAGCGCCGGGTGCTTATGGAGGTCCCGGACCCGATCACCAGCGACGACTCTCGACCGATTCGCATCCCTACTTCTCGCATCAACAGTCTCGCACCCCCTTTGAGAGGCCCGACCCGACGTCGCATCCAGGAGCCCCGACACACTCGCGCCATCAGAGCGCTTCGTCAATAGGCGGTCCGCCGAGTCGCAACATGGGGCCTCCCTCGGACCCTCCTCAGCAACAGCCAATGGGTCCATATAGTATGCAACAAACAGGGCCTGGCCCTGCGCCGGCCTCGGGGCTTAGGATACCACCACCGACGACAAATTCTACCACCATGTTCTCCTCGGGCCGGGAGCTGCCTTCGCTGAGTAGCCTCGCCAGAACGGCCGGAATGCCGCTTTCGAATATGCTCGGTGGACATGCCGTGCAGAGGGAACCGACTCCTGGGAGTCACCCTCCCGGGCATGCTCCCTTCCCACCTCCGAGCACCACCCCGGGTCCGAGTGGTCCTGGCCCAGCATATGCGGCCACCGTCCATGCTTCGCCCAGAATGCAAAGCGCGGCAGCCGCAGACTACCCTCCTTTCTCCCGACGGCCCGAGACGCCAACAAACCATGCAAGGCCTTACGAGCCAAGAGATCAACGAGGCAGTGTTGCTGGCTCCCCTCCACAGGGCTTCCATGGAACACCAGAAATGTCGACGCGGTATGGAACCCCCGGGGCGCATTCTGTGCGCGGGCCGCCAATGCCCCCATTTGAGGATAGAAGGGATCAGTCGGGAAGGTTGTCGGCAGGGAGCTTGCCACCCCGGCCAAGCAGCCAACCCCGAGCATTTGGTAACGGTCCCGGTAGGCCGATGGAAATGGGCCGTGGTCCGCCCCCAGGTGAGCCCTATTTTGGTCCTCGCAGGGAAGAATTGAGACCAGGGCAGGAATACAATCCCGAAGGACCACCTCGAAGCATCTATGAGCAGGAGCAGCGTCGTGTCATGGAGCAAGATCGGGAATATCGTGATCGGATGGAGAGGGATGCCCACTTTCGTGAACGGGAGCACATGGAGCGGGAGAGGATGGAGAGGGCACGGTTCGAAGAACACCAACGACTGCAGCAGCATCAGCAGCAGCAACCGCCACCGCCGCAACACCAGCACCAGCCGCCATTCATGACAGAGCGTGAGCACATGGATCGTGTAGAACGAGAACGGATTGAAAGAGAACGCCAGTTCGACATGCGGGACAGGGAGCGTCGGGAGAGAACTTCCTCTGACCCCAATCGGCATGGCCGCCCGGTAGATTTCGGGCCCCAAGGGCCTCCGGGCTCCCAAGGTCCACCGCCTTACGGCAGAGAAATTCGAGATCACAGAGATGCTGCAGGCTGGCAGCTACGGCCGGGATACGATCAAACGCCGGCGAGAGGCTCGTACGAGCCTGCATACGCACCGCGACACGGACCTCCAGAGCATCCAGTGACATCGGGTCCACCTTTTGGTTCATTCCCTGCCCATGCAACTCAGCATGGTGAACGATACCCGCATGCTGGAGCTGCCAGCCACCCCCCTTCGCATGCTATTCCTGTAACCCAGTCTGAAAGGGGGCCGCAGCCCTTTGGGTCGCCAGACAGGCATAGATTTGTTCCCATGCCTGCCCACCACCAATCACAACAACCGCCGCACCGAGTGAGGCATGACGAAGAAGGGCCCCCACCCCCTTCAGTGGCTTACAACGGCGGACCTGGGCCGGCCGTGTCCGAGCTTCCGAGACAGCCCCGATCACTGGACGATGGCCATCCAGCTCCGACGCTGGCTCGTCAGCAAAGCAGCAGTGGCTTTCTGGCGATTGGTGAGATTAACCGCAAGGGCCGGGTTTCCCCCTTACCACAGGCTGTGCAAGGAGCACAGCCGCAGTCAATGACGCCGTCTGGTGAACCAGGAATCAAGAGTGAATTCGGTCGCATGTTTTCTGGCATAGGAGCTGGTGCCGGTGCATACGGAATGCCAAGTCCCGGTCCATCTCACCTCCCATTTACCAACTCTGGGCTGGCGAGACGCGACGATGCGGATCCGTTGCCTGCTGAGGTAAACGCTGAACAGCCTGCCAAACAACCTCGGAAGCGACAAAGGAAGGTCAAGGATGATGATCAAAAAGGTGATGACGATAGCACTGGCCGCCTGACTCCGGTTGGGCGAACCAAGCGAGCTAGAACGAACCATGCTCATCACCACCATCAGTATGTTTACACTTGTAATTCACGGCTGCAGATTCAAGATACTGACCATGCTTTATCCAGTCATCATCATCACCATCATCACGGGATCCCCGAGAGAACAGCTTCTCCCCTACATGCAGGCAGCACACCTTTGAAAAATGTCAAGACAGGCACTCCTGTTCTCTCGCCAACAGGCCTTCCAATGACACATAGCCACCAAATCCCAAGGTCTTCTGCCAATGCCATCAACAGCAACAATGGTGTCGCACCAGCCAAGCAAACTCCTCAAGCGCCAGTTGTTTTTATAAAACCCAAAAAGACTGTTGACTCACAAATGGTTCTCGACAGCGTAGCCCACAAACCCCGCAAGCACCTAGGTGATATACTCTATGAACCAGAAATTAAAGCGGACCATTTCAGGACTCACTCAAAGGGCGGCTTTAGGACAAAGCCAAAACCTCTTCCGAGAGACCTAATTCAAGACAATGAGAACTCTACTCTCACGGTCAAGATCCACCGCCGACATCTAGAGCCTCACTGTCGCGAGGAACTCACAAGAAATCGGGCTGTTTGGGGAACTGACATATACACCGACGACAGCGATGTTGTGGCTGCTTGTATCCACGGAGGCTGGTTCCGTGGAGAATGGGCGGAGGAAGTAGACATCAGCCTTCTCGGCCTGGAACGCCCCCTGCCCAAGGCCAAGGGCCGGGGCGGCAACGCGGGTGGTGAGAAGGGCTCTCAGGACACCTTGACCTCCCCTCCTGCGACGGGACCGATGCACGTACCTCTTGACCGTGACCTGCATGTCACGATCCTAATTCTGCCCAACCTGATCAAGTATGCTGGCACCACAAGATTCGGAATAATGAGCCGTGACTTTGGCGGATCCTACAAGGGCCGCAGAAGTATTCACGACGGGCTCAGTTTCAAGATTGAGCAGGTGCGCTGGGTAGATGGAGCTGCTCCCCAGAGTAGACTTCGGGGCAAAGCTCGCCGTGAGCGTATTCGCAAGGCAATGAGTGAGGTGGATAGATCACAGGTCATTGATATTGGAGGTCTCAAGAAGATGGACAAACCAGCAGAAGCCCCCAGCACCACAAACGGCGATGTTGACAAGGAGAACCGTCCTATGCAAGTTGAGATACCGAGTCCTGCTCAAGAAACAAGGGAGGCGGCGCCAGAAAAGCCGGCTGGAGCCCAAGAGGCCAACATGGACAGCGATATGCCGACCTTGGAGAGCGAAAAGACGGCGACTGTCGAAGTTGAAGCAACCGAAGCCGCCTAAGTACAGACGTTAAAATATTATGCCCCTGGGGTTGAGCCAACCTGGCCCTAATAGCGACGAGGAAATGGCGATGAAATGATGTCAACAGCGCAAACCACAACTAGTTGAGATGGACTCAGTTTTTGTATATCACAACAAATCAGGGGACTATGAGGGCGCGTATTGCTTAGTCCTCTTCTGCTCACCGACTTACTGTAAGCTTAATTGGGGACTGGTTCGATTGACCTGGGGAGCATAGCATGGCGTTTTGCGCATTTCTGTTTGCAAACTATATATCCCACACGCACACGAGTATAATATGAACACCGGGGTTTCTCCCCACTCCTATGAAGAGACGAACTTGAGCTTTCACATTTCGGCTTCTATTGATACATGTTAAAATTACACTTGGTCTACATTCGGGTTTGGGTTGGCCATGATTGCAGTAATGTGGCGGCATGATGGTACAGTTTGCCATCACAGTTGAAGGTCCCGCAAAAATTAGCAAACCAGTTCTGGGTGGGCATGGCCGCAGTTCCAAGAGAAGGTTCACAAACACTCTGACTATCGTACGAGGTATCCGTCTGATAAGGAGAGACGTCTGCTGGCGTGCAATCTGTGTGTGCTCGTTCCAATCCCAATGTACAGGCCCAGAGTTTTGTGATTGTAGCTTGGTGTTCTATGTTGCTGTGAACCCAACGACATTGAATATTGAGTTCTTGAGACAGAGATGGAAAGTTGTTTTTCCAAGTCTTAGAAGTCAGTCACCCTGCCATTGTAGCTCCAGTCGCCTGCGCTGCCCCATCTGAGTGGCTCGTTCTTGGGCCCTCCGACCTCACCCGTCTTGGGGTTGACCTCGCCTTCGAATTCCGGCGGGGCGCCCTTGCGCAGCGGTAGATTCGAAACCTCGCCCAGCGTTGCCTGATTCGAGAGGGCTTCGCGTGCCACTGGAGATTGAACGTCTGGAGAGGGTGATGGATTGATCTGCTGCTGAGCAGCGGCTTCTTCTTGGTCCGTTAACGATGACGACAAGGGTCGGTCTGCTGGGTCTAGCGATTCCTGCGTGTTGGCGGTGCGCTGCAGGCGCTCGAACTCGGCTTGCTCCTCGGCCGGAAGGCGCGGCGGCGACGGGTAGTGGCCAAAGGGGCCTGTAGCATATGAAGCGCGGTAGGCAGAGGACAGTGGTGCAGAGGATAGTGGTGCAGAGGGGAGAGTGCGTTGGTGCACGACGGAAGACGGTCTGGCCAGGCGCCGGGCGAGGGATGGGAGGCGCGACATTTTGTGCTCGATCGACGATGATTATTGAGCGAGCAGAGGCCTGGAAGTAGCTGGTTGTTGAGTGCCTCAAACTTGGTATCAGTACCGTTCCTAGATTTTGTACAGTGGGATGAGCGAAATGTCGGTTTGCGAGACCAATGAGAAAAAAATACCGAGAGTCTCTCTCAAAGTGGCGTTCCGAGGTTCGCAGTACGTAGTAGTATGTAGTAGTCTAAAATACAGCTCTGGGTCTTGACGTCTTACCGTGGCCGGCACTGGTGTGGACGCCCGACGGGTCCCGCCCGTCCCCATACATAGTACATACTATAGTTGGTACGTGCAGACCTGTCCCGTGTAAGAAACCGCCATTGTCGAGTACTTCGGCCACATGGTTGAGCCAGCTTTGCGATCTGGTCTTCCGAAATCATACAAGTTGAATGGCACACAATAGACCTTGTGAGGTATTGAAATTATTAATCAACATTCAAGGGCAGTTGGTTACATGGCATTGCACACAACTCATAACATCGTGATAGGAGTTTCTCGTGTGGATTCGGACGCCACGGACCCCGAAGCCTCAGCCCGCGGGGTTGCGGTGCGGTGCGCGGCCAGAAATATAAGCTTGGGTATAGACGACACTAAGCTAGGACAGTCAGCAGTCGTTTCTATAACGGACGATCTTCGCTCCGTCGACAAAGAAACAGCGCCTTTCACAAGACTCCGCCTTGAGTCAATGAAGCAGTGTAGGTCTGCATTTGTTCAGAAAGTTACAACGGTTTCGCCTTTCTCGGACCGCCGCATATTATGGCGAACATGGACCATGTTTCCGCTGACCCTTTTTCTCTTGGACGTCTTCGGGGTTTCAATCTGGCCGTAACTATCGACAATGAATTAAGGTCTTTGGGCAATGATAATAGAGTAATTGACACGATGGAAAGCTTCTATAAAAGTCGCAATGGCCGCCAGACCAAACAGGCAACACTTTACTGTTTGAGCTAAACAGTGCCTTTTGTTTTCTTCGAGAAACGCAATACTTTGAAGCAATGAACTTTACAAGATCTGTCATTGTTACCGGAGGTACCCAGCATCTGGGATACCATGCCGCTCTCAGCATTGCACAGGCGCACCCCGAGTATCTCGTCGTGATTGCCTCACGTTCCGCCAGGGCAGATGCGGCAAACACAATCAACCGGACCTTGAACCAGCAAAACACCAGATTCATTCCTTTGGATCTATCGAGCCTTGATAAAGTGAAGGATTTTGCTCAAAAGTGGGCAAGCAGTGGCCATGCACCCATCCAGGCCCTTGTGCTGAACGCTGGCATTCAACATCCCTACGAGTTGCACCTGACAGAGGATGGCCTGGAAGAGACGTTTGCAGTGAACCACGTTGGGCACGCACTTCTTTTCCATCTGCTCTATCCACATCTCGCACAAGGTGCTCGAATCGTCCTCACCTCGAGCGGCACCCACGATCCTGCGCAGAAGTCTGGTGTGACTGACGCAAAGTACGAGACGGCTGAACAGCTCGCCCACCCGGCCGGGTCGGATCTGAAATACCCTGGCAGGGGTCGCTACTCAACCAGCAAGCTGGTCAATGTCCTATGGACGTATGCACTCCATCGTCGCTTGCAGGTCAACATGCCAGAGAAATCCATTACGGTCAACGCCTTTGACCCAGGCTTGATGCCCGGTACCGGTCTGTCACGCGAGGCCACCAGATTCGAGAGGTTCTTGTGGCACAAAATCATGCCAAATATCATACCATTGCTGAGACGCGTCTTTACACCCAATGTACACACCACCGAAGAGTCTGGCCAGGCATTGGCACGGCTTGCCATTGGGATCGACGTGGCTGGAGTGAGCGGCAAGTATTTTGAAGGTCTGAAGCAGATAAGTTCGAGCATAGACAGCTACGATGAAAAGAAACAGGAGGATATATGGTCATGGACAATCAATTATCTCGGCAAATGGGGGCCTGTATCATTTTAAATGATTGGAGGACTTGTGTCAAAGTTGTATTCATCTTATAGAAATTGGATAACACGTCATGGAAGGAGTTGAGAGTAACACCTCCACCTGCCAACCCGCCCCTCTATAGAAATTGCCATCTTTTATCATTCATTCTATGCAAATCTAGTCTTTTCTTCCTACTCAAGCCGGGGCATATAAAGCTCTTCGTATCTTAATGTAGTCTTGCTTCTCTGCAGCATACTCAGGCAGCACCACGGAAAGAGGTAATGGCTGTTCTGTATGTGCCAACAGCATATCAGGGTCTATTGTCCGTACCTTTGCACTTCTGGGTAATGGGAGTCCTTTCTCGTCAGGCAGCCCTTCTGTCTCGAGTCGATCCATTGCCTTTTGGCCCTCTGCATCGGCCGCCTGGCGCATCCTGATCCAGAACTCGGCGTCTGACAAGGTCCAGAGCTCGTCCTCGTGTACGCTCCCATTTCTAATGAGCGTCTTCATCAAGTTGGCTGTTCGAATGTAAATGTCCCCGTGTGCCGTGTTGCCCCAGACTTCCTTGTCGCAGGCCATGTAGGCTTTTGCGAGAGCCAAGGCAAGCTGCGGATCCTGCAGAACCAATATGCGCTTTGGGTGTGACGAGGACGGAACGGCCTTGAGCGACTTGAGAACGCTCTGCGCGTCCTCGAGGCTCATGTGACCAAAGCCCACGGCATCGCGCAGCCCGTAGTCGAGCCTGTCGGCACAGAGATGGGGCGCATCTTGCTCGACCAGCGGGTACAGGACTTCTTCGAGGGGTCTGAGATCCGTGAACCCATGGCGGGCGAGGATCTCGGGGATCTGGGTTTTCATGACGTAGCGCATCTTGTGCACCTCGTGAAAACTGCCCTCGCCGGGGGCCGACAGGGCAAAGTCGACAACGTGGCTCATGGCCGTGTGGCTAATGTCGTGCAGCAGACCCGCGACCTGCTCGTCGACGGCGCCGCCCACGAGACGCACAAGCAGAAAGGCGCCGACCGAGTGCTCCATGCGCGAGACGGGCGGAGTGAGGCGCAGGAGGCCCGAGATGCCATGCTGGTGCACGCCAGCCAGTCGGACGACGGCGGGCGAGCGGAGGAGCTCCACCAAAACGGGTTCGGTGACGGTGAACTGGCCGTATATCTGGTCCTCTATGATGACTTGGTCGTTTGCTGACGAGAGGTCAATCGTCTGGAAGTGGCCTGATGTGAAGAGCTGAGATTGTTGCGCCATTGTAATACAGCCCGCTCACGACCTATACGGGCGCGTGGAATCAGAGTCGGATTTTTTTTTCCCTTCTCTTATCCTCCCTTTCCCACCGACGTTTATTTGGCTGCGCGCTTGGGAGTCAAACAACAATGACGAAGTTGGAAGTAAACATTTATCTATTCTAGGCAAACAAGTATTGGCGCGGTTTGGGTTGAGTTGGTGACTCAGTGCTGCTGGTCAGGAGGTATGTACCTGCATAACGTAGCGCCGGACAAAAATGGAGCGGGGACATTAAATGTTCATTTTAAACCGAGCAATCCATTCTGTTTTTCTAGTTGACCGAAAGAGAAAAGATTCAGTACAATAATTCAATGAATCTCAGTGTAATCACTGGATAATGAATCCTTTAACCCTCAAGTTGACATCTCATCCCCAAGTATATCATGTACTCAATATTGTGCTTGAGAGTTTGTACTTGTCAGCAGCGGGACCAGACCATGTTGTCCAAGATATGAAAGCCAGATTGTTTTAAAGATGCAAACTTTTTCACTCCAATATCGATTCTGGAATCATCACTTTGATTGGTGGAAAAATATTTCCTATTACTATTAAAAATTGTTATAACGTACGCTCAAATACCAGAGATGACGCAAACTATTTTTACATATATCCCTACCTACATTGAGCTTACAACCTAAAATGAACAACCCATTGGACCATAACAATCTTGTTGAAAAGCAGTAGTGACAAATTAAAAAAAAAAAAAAAAAAAAAATTAAGTGGAAAGTTATAAGAGATCGAACGAGAAACGACACTTGTCTCCAGAATCAAAAGTTCAAGAAAATTCTCCTAAAAGTCTCACACCGGAAAGGCATTCCCTTTCAACAGGTAATATTCGCTTATAGTGCAGCCAGTATTTAATTTTTCCCCGGGCCATCAATTCGAGCGCCACCCAGAGGGGTCCAAGCATCTTGAGATATCGGTGCAGTACTCCAGGCATATAGAGCTGCTGACTGAAAGCTGTCTGCCGCCTGTACTTGCTGGTCATACATAACTTGAGCTGTAGTGATAGCTGACGAAGATAGAGAGGCTGTTGTTGCCATATGCTGAGGATTTCCGGCTCCATTGTTTCTGTTTTGATGGCCATTTCTGTCTTCGGCCGTGGCTTGTTCATCCAAGTTAATACTGGCTACGCTCGCTTCTTCATGTGCATCCGGCTCGGGCACGGTCTCATGTACGTCGGTCGTGGAACCATTGGTGATGGCAGCCTGTTGTCCATTTGTGTGACGAGTATCACGACGCTGCGTGTAAGGCTCCTGGCGATCTCTTCTGTTGCGGCGGCGGTGCCGTTGGACCCTTCGACGGGGTCCAGAGGACTCTCCGCTGGCTCTGCCATTCTGGATTCACTATCAGTAACTCTTAGCCATAGAATGCCTAAATCTGCTTTCTAGTGAGCTGCTTACTGGTTGTAAGGACATTGTTGGCTGTTCTTGGAGCAATTGGAGTATTTGTTTGTTCCAAGCTAGATGAGTCCTGTTCCCTTGGGATTGTGGAACGAAAAACAGACGGCCACCGAAGGTTTATCGGACAGTGCGATTGCCTGGAAGTTTGGTAGATTTAATTGGGGGTTCTCGTCATACTCGTGTCGATACACGACCGTATCCAGAGTTAAATATACGACTGATACATTATACTATGTCGTCAATCGCGATCCAGTTGCCAGAAGAACAAATTCAGAGTCGGGCATTTGCGCATAGGATCTGGACTGGGACACGGGGCCCTATGAAAAACGGTTCGTCATGTATGCCTGCTCTACAAAGTACTACTTATTTGGTTTCGACTTTGACCCCTGCTTACATCGTGATAGGCTATGGCCAAGGTAACAGCTCTGAGAGAAGGAAGTTTTCCTTCGAAAACGACGTGACCGGTGACTGTCGTGAATACTCATTTGTCTGCAAACCCTGGTTTATGAGATAACGCGACGCCAACAATCCCCATACATGCAGCGCGGGACGCCGGAATACCATGAGCCTCGCGTACATGGAGCCAAACAGAGCCGGCTGCAAACCTGGCTAGGTACTACATATTTGGGTAGCATTCTTTTCGGTGAGACCCCTGGTACATCTCCTCGCGGATCGTTCCCCGACTTCCGCGACAGGGTTCTGATCTAATGACATGCATAGCCGACAACTAGGAACCATGATCCGGCGTCCCCGTCATGAATCTTCCCGACCAAGCCACTTTCATTGATATCGGCTACGACAGGACTTGATTTACGAATGAAAGAGCATCATCGGTGCTGGCCCGAGAAGCACAGCAGGGTCTGGCTCGGCGGCTGTATTGTAAGATAACCATACATCTCCTCTGCATTTCATACATGGACGCTCCTTGAACACATGTTCCAACTCTTGATATCCCTACCTGTGAGAAAGCTTTACTTTGCCCAGCTATTGCAAGAGGCCAGCACTTCACAAGCCTTGGCCACCACCGGGGAACGATCGAATGGCAATCCATGTACGTTTTATAGTTCTTGTCAGTGATAATCATGATGAACCTCTGTAACATTATTGTAAATACCATAATTAATCTGTAAGACGGATGCACTCCGCACAACAAGTATTGATGATTGACCGCATCAAAACTTGTTGGCAATGACCCTCATTCAATCCTACCTGGATTGTTGCTGGATGTGACTTTGGAGGCGAGTACCGTTTTGTGCGATATAACAGCAGTGCAATCACGATCGGCTATGGGAGCGCGCGTATCACCGGTTGCACCAGGCGTCATGGCCAAATGTGTGCCTTTAAACGCGCGCGCCATGATGGATTGCCTTCACCGGTTGAAAAGTCCTCGAGAAATCCACAACTCCTAGGCACTTTCGACCCTTGAGTGTTGATCAAGTGCTCAGTACCAGTGAATATGTCTTTGTATTAGATGCGCGGGATATGTCCCAAAGTTCATTCTATACCAAAGCTCACATAGGCCTAGACAGAAGTCATGGCACTATTCTGGCTCTCTGAATTCATGCCGGAATCTGTCGCCCATGTTCAACGTCAAGCCCCTCCCCGACGCCTCCGTACTGATCGAATGATTTCGCTGCCCGGCCGCTTTCTCCCACCTGCATGGCACTAGACAATAAACAGTCACTTATGATTTTTCCAAGCTCTTCTGGCATATTGTTGGCGTAGCGCCAGTCTATAGATGATGTTGCACCTGTGTTACCAAGTGCTTTTTGTCTTTTCCCCGTCCCAACTTCGATCTTCTTTTTACACAGGTGCCTCGATGGTAATGTGGGACGAGTTGAACAACGGAAAGCCTAGCGAAAAAGAGGACTAGCAGCAACATGTGTTCCAAAAGGGTCATATCCTGCTGGGCCAACATGAATGCAATTAGGATTCATGCTCAGTGCCTAATCCACCCACATGAAGGGCATGGCCCATTCTTGTTGACAGCTTCAGCAAATCTTGAAGGGTTTGCTAGAGGCACGCCGGATCAAGCGGGAATGCGCTCAACATTGAAGTTTAAAATGGTCCAGTTTCTTCCACAAGTCGGTAGTATCCAAGGTAGCAATCGACGAGTTGAGAGTTGTAGGTTAGGGGCAGTTATATTAAGCTTTTCTCAGGGTTAAAGTTGAGAGCTTGGTAGATCCGCGCCCCATAATCGGATCAAAAAAGGTTGTAGGTATACTATGGCCCACTCATCGGAACGGCCCGAATGCAAGGCGCTTGCATGTTCACTGCCACTACTGGCTATTCCCACGATCTTGGGTTCGACTGCCTATAGACAGCCTGGTTCATTTCGGCAGTTGGTAATAATCAATGAAAACCTTGACCGTTCAAGAGATGCATTGCTCTCAGGCATGTATAGTGTTGGTGAACTCCCGCAGGTAACAGACGCATTTGTTTCGCATTGCCCAATCAAGGCCAAACATCTCTCCGCAGAATGAGGGTTGCCCGATTAGGAAGGCAACCACTCGTCCTGACTTACTGGGTATCGACGCGCAAACGCCAAGGGAAAGGACAAATGATAGCCATGCCTAGGCAATAGGTACTACTAAAATCCTATCCCGGACCCCTTTCTATTCTTCTTCTCCGGCCAGTGGCGCCATGCCGAATCCAGTGCCGGACCCAGACCCATGGAGTCCAGGTTCGTGTCCCTTTGCAGTGTAAAAAAAAGATGTCCTGAGACTATACCATTTCCAGTGGACCCATGAGCTTTTCAACAGCTTCCCTATACGTGACGTTAGCCGAATGAGACGTGATGGTTAAAATCACCCACTCGCCCACTTCCCGCCATGATGGATTTGAATGCGCCATGGACGTCGGTGATTTGCCCAAGGTATAAGACGATGAGAACGCTTCGTTTGGAAAAGTTACAGAGATCCCCGGGTTTCCGTTTAGACATTTTGCAGTAAGTCGGTCGAATTTGGGCTCATCAAGAACCATGTCGTTCCTTCAAGGCGCAAAATGCCTGCTCCTGATCTCTTCGCTGGCCGCAGCACTGCCTCACGTTAATTTGAAGCGGGATATCGAGACCAACTGCACCGCCATCCGTCAGCGAGTGCCCTGGACAAAACTCTCCCAGGATGAAAAGTTGTCGTACATTGAAGCCGACTTGTGTCTCATGAACACACCTTCGAAAACAGGCTTGGCTGGAGCGGTAACTCGATGGGATGATCTACAATGGCCACAGTACGTCTCTCGCGGCCACTTTGGGGCTTTCTTCATTTCCTAATTTCCGACTCAACCAAAAGAATACAACATGGTTCAAGAAGCGCAAATTGAACTGAGGAAAACAAGGGCTATTTGCTGACTATAAACCCTGCTTAGTATCACACAGACTGTGACTATACACAATGTGGTATGCAAGCCGGAGCCCACGAGGTCGCATCACAGCTGACGTAGAGCCAGGGAGGCTTTCTCCCCTTTCATAGGTACTATGTGGCCGCGCACGAGACATTGATCCGCGACGAGTGCGGCTATACTGGCCGCCTGCCATACTGGGATGAAGTGGCAGAAGTCGCCAATATGTCTGCTTCAGAGCTCTTCCAAGACCAGTATTATGGCGCAAACGGCGCAGGTGGCGATAGCTGTATTGAAAATGGGCCCTTTGCCAATCTGACATTGCGATTCCTTGCAAACAACCAGCTGGGCGACCATTGCCTAAGTCGCCAGTTCGACCAGTTCTCCTTCAGCGCCGCGGCACAGAATTATATCAACAAGTGCAATACCTTTACCAAGTATGTGCTGGCGTGGAACTGCTTCACGTTGGCGCCACACAGCGCTGGCCATAATGGAGTTGGTGGCATAGTAAGAAGACCTTCCCAACCCTCCGAAGGAGACCGTGATCAGAATGGCTAATAGGAACGAATCCTCCCCATTAGATGTCGGACCCTACATTTTCTCCCGGAGATCCGCTGTTTTTTCTACATCATGGTTACCTCGACAAACTCTACTGGGAGTGGCAGAAGCTCGACTATCCAGCACGACTGTATGATATGGGCGGAGTGAATGTGCCGCGAACGGCCGAGCCTGGAAGCCCCGACTATCCGCCCACGGCGGTGACGGATTACTTTGGCGACAACGGCACTATAACGACGCTGAATCACAACCTCTGGATGACCGACTTGGTGCCAAACGTCACCATTGCCGACATCATGAATCTGAATGGGCCTACTATATGTTCAGAATACCTCAATGCCGAGGATCTAGAATGAAGAGTTGTGTAATGCACGGTTGCTCAAGTGAACCCCAATATATGATACCATCCATCTGCACTGATTTGGTCAAAATTCGGCCAAGCAAACTCAACTGAGTGCGTGCTTGCGAGCTAGATGCTCGTGAAACATTTGTATCACATGACAGCCAATTTCAAGTAGGGTGGAACCCGCCGTCTTGCTTCCTTAATGACTTGCCTAAGATTTGTGTAACTGCTTGTATGGGATTAATCAAACAGGGCAAGACAGTGAGAAATTGGAAATGAGCCACAGTGTTACTTGCGTGTATCTCGCATTCAGCATAATGATAAGCCAAGTTTCTGGGCGGCTTAGTTGCATTAAGTTCTTGTCTCGGCCTGATCTATCATTTGGTTGATGCTCCTCGACTGCTTGCCACTGTTGGCTTACAATGCCCATTTAATGTAGGCGTCTTTCTAGGCCTAGGTAATGCACCTACTTAATGTACGTAGCGGTCGGCGGGCTGCTGGATTTTACGGGGAAAAGGGCGCTAACGAGGAAATGGGCATTGATGCCCAGGTGGGTGTGGAGGTGAATTACAGGGCATGCACAGCGCAATTGACTCTGGACATAGGTAGCGCGCCAATGAGAGAGAATTCCGATCCCCCGAGCGGAGCAGCTTGAACGATGTTCCGATCCAGCACAGGTGGATCTCACCTGGGCAAGTCCACAAGCGGGCGTTCACGGGGTAGCATAGGTGAGCGACCTCCAGCAAGCAGGCGAACTAAAAATTCAGTGTGGGTCTGCCAAACAGCTCACTGACCGATTGCAGCGTGAAGCTCAGCAAAGACCCCGATATTCCGGAGCTCTCACCTTGAACCTCGTACTATTATTGCCAGCTACAAAATCGAGTCATTCACTTTCTCGCTCGTACCACATCCCCTTCCTCAACCCATTCTTGTAACAGCGAGACAATCAAGAGGACGACGTCTCTTGTCAATTCGGATATTTTCATCTTCTTTTCCTTTCATCGACATAATACAGACTTCACTGTACACAATGCTTCCTGCACTGCGCATCGCCTCGCGCCGTGTGCCTGCTGTGCGCCGGTCTGCGGCCTTCCAGGCTGCTCGTGCTGCCTCGACCTGGGCCAATGTTCCCCAGGGTCCTCCTGATGTACGTTTTTCTTGGGAGACAGGCGTTGAAGTAATACAGAAAGCTAATTGAGTTATTCTGCAGGCCATTCTAGGTATGTCATCTACCATTTGCCAAATTTTTTTCAAGGCTGTCAGCACCTCGTTCGACCTCAAGACGAAGCTCCATCATGACGCAAGCTCCATCAGCAATCAAGGGAGCTATGAAAATAACATCAAAACATTAGACTAACATGTTCCCATAGGCATCACCGAGGCTTTCAAAGCCGACTCCTTTGACAAGAAGATTAACCTGGGTAAGTTATACTCTTGCACATTATGAGTAACTCGGCGGCAGAGTTTCATGCCACATGGCTACAAGATCGTACCACTCACTCAATGTGACTGCAGGTGTCGGTGCTTACCGTGACGACAAGGGCAAGCCCTACGTCCTCCCTTCCGTCCGTACTGCTGAGGAGAAGGTCATTGCCAGCCGCCTGAACAAAGAGTACGCTGGTATCACTGGTCTTCCCGACTTCACCAAGGCTGCTGCCGTTCTCGCCTACGGCAAGGACTCCTCTGCCCTCGACCGCCTGGTCATCACCCAGTCCATCTCTGGTACTGGTGCTCTCCGCATTGGCGCCGCCTTCCTCGAGCGATTTTACCCCGGCGCCAAGAAGATCTACATTCCCACTCCCTCATGGGCCAACCACGGCGCCGTCTTCAAGGACGCTGGCCTTGAGGTCGAGAAGTACAGATACTATGACAAGAAGACCATTGGCCTCGACTTCCAGGGCATGCTTGCCGACATCAAGGCTGCCCCCAAGGGCAGCATCTTCCTGTTCCACGCTTGCGCTCACAACCCTACTGGTGTCGATCCTACTGAGACTCAGTGGAAGGAGATCAGCGACGCCGTCAAGGAGGCTGGCCACTATGCCTTCTTCGATATGGCTTACCAGGGTTTTGCTTCTGGCAACACTGACAAGGACGCCTTTGCTGTCCGTCACTTTGTCAAGGAAGGCCACAACATCTGCCTGGCCCAGTCTTTCGCCAAGAACATGGGTCTCTACGGTGAGCGTGTTGGTGCCTTCTCCATTGTCGCCGAGGATGCCGATGAGAAGAAGAGAATCGACTCTCAGATCAAGATCTTGGTTCGCCCTCTGTACTCCAACCCTCCCGTCCACGGAGCCCGCATTGCTTCTCAGATCTTGAACGACCCCGCCCTCTACGAGCAGTGGCTCGTTGAGGTCAAGGAGATGGCAGACCGTATCATCAGCATGCGTGCTCTGCTCAAGGAGAACCTCGAGAAGCTCGGCAGCAAGCACGACTGGAGCCACATCACCAGCCAGATCGGCATGTTTGCCTACACTGGTCTCGAGCCCGCCCAGATGGATGCCCTGGCCCAGGAGCACAGCGTGTACGCTACCAAGGATGGACGTATCAGTGTCGCCGGTATCACCAGCGAGAACGTCGGTCGCCTTGCCGAGGCCATCTACAAGGTCAAGGGCTAAAATGTGTATGAATGATGTAATGAATAAAATCTGGGGCGTTCTTGATGTGCGATAAGCGAGTGATGGCTTCATTTTAGATACCTTCATAGACACAGGAATCAGTTGGCCCACTTTTGGCTATGCTACCGTCATAGCCAGATTTTGGTCTAAAATGCGATACTTGAACGGATCAAAAGTCAAGTCAAATCTTTTTCGACCAAGCAAATGCCGTGTATGGTCCTCCCAGGATCAAATTGCTACAGGTTTATAATCTATTTTATTGTTGAGCCAAGGTGCGGAAACGATGTTTTTTTGAGTTGCAGAATCTGATCAAACTGCTCCCTTATAAGTTACTGGTCTAGATGCTCTATGGAATTGGCGTGGGTTTAGAGTCACAAGCTGTTGATATAGATTCTTGATCAATTATAAGCGTCTTGCATGGCCCAAACTACCCTGTCTTGTCTTTTTGACTCGTTTCCCAAAGTCGTGTCCGTATTGACGTGATGATAACCTCGGTCATGTGTCTCCTGTCAAAGAGACGCTGGAGTTGCGTAAATATTGCTTTAGTGCCATATCTGAGAGGATTCCAATGGATGATAGGCGTTTATTTATTCCAATTCTCGAGGGTTGCGGGGCCCCAGACCATGGTCGCCTCACAACACTTTCGCCATCTTCAGCCAAATGACCAGGGAAAAGTTGGTAAGGATCCTGTCATCCTGGGGTCTCACTTCGTCCAAATTGCAAGCAGCCTTGAAATGGAGATAATTATCATTATACTCGAAGAATTTCGAAGCCCGCTCTTGAGAAGTTTCCAGGGGCCGGCAATTACGTTAACCAGGAAGAAAGGACGAAAAAGAAAAATATATTGGGCGTAAGAAGAGTTCGTCTGCATATTGGTGACAGCAACAGAATGATGATTGCCATCACAAATACCCACATTCCAGTATGCTAACCTTGTTTTTTTGTTTTTGTTTTTTAAAGGAAATCAAAAAGGCAGTCTTTATGCATGTTTTCGCGAGTAATCAGATACCAGAAGATCTGAACCTCGCGGAGCAGCAGATCACATGATGGAGTTTCACTGCGCTCCAAATCTTGTAGTCTATATCGACGCATCCATACTATCTGATAGTATCGTCTTGAAATGTTCATACTATTGACGGTCAAATCTGCGCCTTCCATTTAGAAACGAGTGGTCCAGAAGATGGCTTTGGCACTCAGAAAGGCACGTCTCAATGTAAACATTCTGTCCAGTATCGACAAAAAGAATAGGCTCATCTGACAATCAATTGATGGTCGATTGTATAATGGAGAACTTTTTTCGAGATTCAGAATGGCAGGGCCTCGTCACACGTCAACATTGGAAGGAATCTTCCGGGATCTGGGATAACTGAGAATACTGATCTAGCCAACCTTTACTGCCATTTGTCTTGTAATACAAGATAAATTGGTGCCTACTACCAGTAATTTGTCGCTAATAAGAAGGAAGTGTAATCATTATGGCTTCTGTCATCATTGAACAATATTGTGGCTATAGGGACTGCTTACTGGGATCAGAAAAATGGTCAGCTTTTACATCCTATCAAATGCATTATTGCTTTCAGGATCCTAGTGACTCGACCCCTTTCGGACGATGATAATAAGTCGCTTAGATTATCGAGATTCCGGATGTGATGCTTAGAAGTTTAATCGCCTGTTCCCCCGGGGAAGAAGAAAAAGGCTAGGGGTATGTAGAGATAGTCTTATAAATATGTAGACTACCAATACTTGAGTATAGAGATTTTTTTCGTATGGTCCAAGAATGCCACCAGGGTACCTAGATTAGCCAGACTCGCATTAGCTGAGCTTTCTTCTACGGGAAAACACGTTACAAAGACCTGCCGCGTCTTTTGTTATGGGTAGTGATATAAGATATGTGTATCTAGTCGATATCACAACTCTTCAAACTGGTCAAATTGCAAGAGGATTAATTGCTTCGTCACAGAGGACAACCAATAGCAGAGTAAGCGGAGTAAGCGAAATCGTAGTCACCGAGTCTATTTCGTCACCAAGGACATGGGTCCGGTATCGCCGCACGTCCACACCTCGAATTTTGACCAGGGGGGGCGAAAAGCACACGCCGTCTGGCGCCCCCAGCAATGGCCACTCTGCCCCTCTAACGCATAGCCGAGCAGCGAGCTGTAGTGTAAATCAGGACCCATCTGGACAGCCGCTGACCGTTTAGGTACTATGCAGGGCCGCTGCGATCGCGGGGCAGAAGAAGCGAAACGAAGTTGAGTGAGGGGCCTCGAGAGTGACTGACTACTCAAAAATTATTCAATTGATTATTCGATTCATCCCACCAACCAAAAGAGTCCACCTCTGGTCTGTTCCCTGCAACCACGACCCAGGGATAAAATAGTCGAATACTTTGACCTCCTACACTACTCCTACTTATCTAGGTCTTCATAAAAAGAGTCATCATCTGCTCTTGGCTTTCCTACCACTCTTCTGTATTCTTGCCCTCTGTCCTCCTCCCCCATACTCTCTCCATATCTCCCCCAACGTGAGTCAGAGGTTCGACTACCCTGCCCATAAAGCCAAGTCCAGATCACCTCTTTACTCTTCCGATTCCTTCTCGACGTCTCACTTGGCAATTCACTCATTCTTTTTCCCCAATATAGACTCTTCCAAGAACACATACTTCTGGCCAACATGGAAGGTTTGAAGCAGACATTCAAGCGGTGCAAGGCCGAGAACAGGGTATGTCACACCGGGAGAGCTGTTGCTGCTCCCCCATTCCGCCGCCAAGCAACCTCACCATGACGGATATTTCCCGTACAAACTCAATTGCCTCCTCGAAACGTCTTGCTAACCACTTGTTCCTTATCCAGTCTGCCCTTGTGACCTATGTCACTGCGGGCTACCCTAAGCCCGAGGACACGCCGAATATTATGATGGCCATGCAAAAGGGTGGTGCAGGTATGGATTGCCCCATTCAAGAGAAGTTCTGGAAGCGAAGGAAAAACATGCTAACAGAATCCTCTGTAGACGTCATAGAGCTCGGTGTTCCCTTTACAGACCCCATCGCCGATGGCCCTACCATTCAGACCGCCAATACCGTCGCCCTCGAAAATGGCGTTACAGTTGGTCACGTAATACAGATGGTTCGCGACGCCAGGAAACAAGGATGTACAGTCCCTGTGCTGTTGATGGGCTACTACAACCCCCTGTTGTCGTATGGTGAGGAGGCCTTGCTTAGAGACTGCAAGGAGGCTGGTGTGAACGGATTCATCGTCTGCGATCTGCCCCCAGAGGAGGCTGTTTCCTTCCGCAAATTCTGCAGCAGTGGTGGTCTCAGTTACGTCCCCTTAATTGCCCCTGCCACTAGCGACGCACGCATGAAGCTTCTTTGCGCCCTGGCCGACAGCTTCATCTATGTTGTCTCCCGACAGGGCGTCACTGGCGCTTTGGGATCGCTCAATGCCAACCTTCCTGCCCTCGTCGCCAGAGTCAAGTCTTACAGTGGTAACAAGCCGGCCGCCGTCGGATTCGGTGTCTCCACTCGGGACCATTTCAAGAGCGTCGCCGAAGTCGCAGATGGCGTCGTCATTGGCTCACAAATTGTGAGCACCCTGCAAAAGGCCGAGGCCGGCAGCGGGCCCAAGGCTGTCGAGGAATATTGTGCGTATGTTTGCGGCCGCTCCACATCGGCAGATGAAGAGCACACGCGCGAGGTGGGCATTGTCGAGGCTATCAATGGCGCCAAGGAGCCCGAGGCGGCTCCCACTGTCAATGGTGTTATTACTGAGCAGGACGACGCCGATCTGGTAGCCAAGTTGGGTGCCCTGCATGGCAGCATCCCCGACCGCTTCGGCGAGTTCGGTGGTCAATATGTGCCCGAGTCCTTGATGGACTGCCTGTCACAGCTTGAGGAGGGATTCAACGCCATCAAGGACGACCCCAAGTTCTGGGAGGAGTACCGCTCATACTACCCGTGGATTGGCCGGCCGGGACACCTCCAGCTTGCCGAGCGCCTGACCGAGTACGCCGGAGGCGCCAACATCTGGTTGAAGCGCGAGGATCTTAACCACACTGGATCGCACAAGATCAACAATGCCCTAGGACAGATCCTACTTGCCAGGAGACTGGGCAAGACCAAGATCATTGCCGAGACTGGCGCTGGACAACACGGTGTTGCCACTGCGACTGTCTGCGCCAAGTTCGGCATGGAATGTACAGTATACATGGGTGCCGAGGATGTCCGCCGCCAGGCCCTCAATGTCTTCCGAATGCGCCTGCTCGGCGCAAAGGTTGTTGCTGTCGAGGCTGGCTCCAAGACGCTCCGTGACGCCGTCAACGAGGCTCTGCGAGCCTGGGTGGTCGACCTGGACGATACTCACTACATCATTGGATCTGCCATTGGTCCTCACCCCTTCCCCACCATTGTTCGAACTTTCCAGTCGGTCATTGGAAACGAGACCAAGGAACAGCTGCTTGCCAAGCGTGGCAAGCTGCCGGACGCCGTCGTGGCTTGCGTCGGTGGAGGTTCGAATGCCGTGGGTATGTTCTATCCCTTCAGCAATGACCCGAGCGTGAAGCTCTTGGGAGTCGAGGCTGGAGGCGATGGTGTCGAGACTGCAAGGCACAGCGCTACGCTCTCTGGAGGTACCAAGGGTGTTTTGCACGGTGTTCGTACCTATGTCCTCCAGAATGAGCATGGTCAGATTTCCGACACCCACTCCGTCTCTGCCGGTCTTGACTACCCGGGTGTTGGCCCCGAGTTGGCATCCTGGAAGGACAGCGAGCGTGCCAAGTACATTGCTGCAACGGATGCCGAAGCCTTCACTGGTTTCAAGCTGATGTCCCAGCTCGAGGGTATCATTCCTGCTCTTGAGAGTGCGCACGGCATCTACGGGGCCATTGAGCTTGCCAAGACTATGAAGAAGGGCGAAGATATTGTCATTTGCCTCAGTGGACGTGGAGACAAGGATGTACAGAGTGTGGCCGAAGAGCTGCCTACGATTGGTCCCAAGATTGGCTGGGATCTACGCTTCTAAGAGATTTATACCCGTCTGGTTTGTTTAGAGGAGGAGGAGAATTAATCTGATGTTTTGGTACGGAGTTGGCGGGAAAATGTTGTATCGTTCTGGCATACAGGGCGTCTTTCTTTGACTAGTAATGTCTCTTGTAGAATGATACACAAAATAGATCGATCTATAAAAGTACAGAATTGAGAGACTGGTCATTGTAATATACTATATTTTTATTTGGGCTTGATACATGTTTTTATGCCTCTTGAGTCTATGCTCATGATTCCCTGGTGATGCGAATGCATGGTGGCGGCCTTTTGTACAGTGAATAAATTGAATGTTACAGAGCATATCGTGTCCAAAGACGATGCTGTTGGTTGGCAAATCGGGCCCAAGAGTGAAATATGCATCACGACTACCCTTTTGTTGGGGCTTGCGCTCACATTGCCATCACTCGCTCATGTATGGCACCTATTGGGGCGTATTCCTTGCCTCGGTGACTTTGCTGACTGGCTCCTCGGCCATGAACTTCTCCTCGACAAGCTCCTCGCCAATAACGAATTCGTCTCCTCGCTCCAGCATGGCATCAAGCTCGGCAATCTCTTCCGGGCTGGGTGCTGCCTCGGCATCCTGGGCTTCTGCGGATCCCTTGGGTGGTAGACCCATGGCCTCACGCTGCCTCGCCCATTCCTCCTGGACGGGGGCGCTCTGCATGACCTTCCAGCGCAGCCTCCAACCGGCGGGGCCGAGCTCCTTGATGCGGCGCTGCTTGGTGCCGAGCAGGTACTCGTCAATACCGCCGAGACGGTCAATGGTGCGGAGAACGTGGGCGGTCAGGCGGGTGCGGATGAACATGTTGAGACTCGGGGACCAGAGGCGCTTGGTGTGCCGGTTCGGCCGCCATGATGTTGGCTGCTTGATGTTGTGCTCTTCCGACACGGTATTGCCAAAGCGAATCTTGGAGGTGCCGTATAGTCCCGAGTTGCGCTGCTTGTACCACCGAAAGGGCCCGTAGGGATAGTCGGGCACGCGCTCAAATGGCACCTTGAGATGCGTGGGCGTCTGGCGCGAGGCCGTCGCCGTTGTGCTGAATGTTGCGCGGGTAGCGGCGGTGGCTGTCGCGGTCGAGGGCTGGGCGAGCAGACACCTCGTCGTCGGTGTTGCCATTGGCCTGAGAACGGCCATGGCTGTGAACTTTTTTTTTTTTTTTTTCTGTTGGAACGACGCAGGTGATCGAATTGGCCTTGCGGACCCAAGTGTTCAAAATGTTCGTGTCTCTTGCCGCTTCGTGATGTTCAAAGCCTCTCCTCCGCTTGAGATTGGCGCCGAGTTGGGGCGGTGATGAGCTGGTGATTCGATATCCCGGCGCTCTGGCTTGGGTTAAAGACAGAAGCTCTGAATGAAGCTCTGAAAGATTTCCCGTTCTCTGGCTGCAATCCATCAATTGATTGGATGCTGCCTCGCGGTTGGAAATTTCGACCGGGGTTTTCCCGCTAGACTGGTCCCGGCCTGGGGGGTGTTCAATGTTATTTACAGGGGCCAACCAGATGACTAGTGCACAGTACCGTACGTACCTTGCATTTACCTAGAGGTTATGAGTGAGTGCTGCTACACTCATTCACTCAATCACTCACCCCCGAGGGTCCCTGCGGCCAACGTCAAAGAAAGAAGAATTGTGATGAGCTAAGAGAAGAACATCTTGTTTTTGTCTCTATTCATGCTGCTGTTTTCTTCCTCTTTCTTAAGGAGCAAAACTCTGCACATTTACAGGCATATTCTTGGATACCCTCAAACTCACTAGTTCTCGGGTAGCATTGGTTCTTCTGTTCCTCCCATCGGGTAATTAAGCGCGATCGCTTCGCGTAGAGGCACTTTTATTCAGGAGCAGACATATCGACAAAGGACAAGAAACAGCGGCTGGGCTGTGGACACGACTAGAAGACGCAACGGCCTCGCAAGTATCTACGTATTCATCATGCTTCCGCCAGTGGATGCGTCACTGTTAGCAGCCAACCCTGGCTTTGAGCAGCTGTACAATTCACTTACAACCAATGTCCTGAACTCGGATGGGTCCACCAAGAATGATGCAGCTGCGCGACAACGCGAGGCTGTTCGTGAGGTGAGCTCTTGATATCCTTATCTTTTCCTTCTCTTCTAGCTATTTTATTATCCTTGCTCATATGTTACTTGGCGTTGATAGTTATGTGAAGGACCATATTCTAACATGGCAATAGGAACTGAAAGAATACCGTCTAAAGGCAACCAGGAAACACTTGCTCAGAAATGCAATTGCAACGGTACCACCACCATCATCTCGGCCGCCTCCCAGACAACACACGCGGACTAGATCGCAGCTTTCAAGGATAGTCTCGCAGGAAACGCCGCAACTGCCCCCAGAGCTCTTGGATTTGCTCCTTGTGTTACCTGCATTTCTGGAGCGAGGCCAGGACATGTCAATTGAAGAGCTGGAGTTGCTCTTGTCCAGCTCGCCAATGTCAGATTTTCCTTCTCTTTTGCCGCATTACACGCGTCTGATATCATCGCACCTCACGACACAAGCGCGCAGTCTGGCCCGCGTAATGCATCCCTCGACGAATCCCTCCTTTATACATCGGGCTATCCCGCATATTCTTCCGACGACCCAGACTCTGATATCATCACTCTCGAACAACCGTGCTGCCCTCACCTCCAACCGACTTATGGCCACTCACAATTTGGTGGATCATCTCGATCAACAGACGAAAGCACTGCTCCTACTGCTCCGTGCTCTCGAGGCCAAGCACGGCGTCATGGCGCAGTCCAGCACGCTGCGAGCTTCCGACGCGAGCCTGGAAGCCCAGTCACGAGCAACTTCTGTAAATATACAGCTCTGGGAGACACGATCCATGATTTATCCCCCAGAGTCTCAGACTGCACTGCAAAATTATCGCCGCCACCTACGTGATGCTCAGATGCAGCTTTCTAATAAACTCCGGACGCGGGAGCAGGAGCTTGGCGAGTACGGCGTCTCGGTCAGCGTCGAAGAGGGAGGGCTTGGCATAGTAGCCAAACCAGATGCAGCCAGGGAGAACAAATTCCGTGAAATGGCCCGCGTCTGGCTGGAGATGGAGAAGAGATTGAAGGAGATCGACGGCGACCTTAGGCGGCTCGACAAGAGCTGAACATGGGCATGAGACTCTGGTCTGTCCCCTGCCCCTCCGAACCCGCTCCGAACCCGGTAGCTTCCGAACCAGGCCAATTGAGACTATCCCCGACATTGGGTTGCTAACAAAGGATAATTCGCATTTTGATCACCTCGGCATTGGCATCGCACCCGCGGAAGCTTAAAACCAAGGGGCGGAGTAATTGGTTGGCACTGCATAACACAGAGGAGAGCCCTGCATATGAATGACGCAATGCCGCCTAGGTATATACGCGCGAAAAGACACCTACCTCTCTCTCTGTCTTTCTCACTCTCTCTTGATGATCAGTAATAGAGCAGTCGAGGTTTCGCATCAATCAACAAATTGACTCCTGTATTCGAAAGGGGCTCATAAACAAATTCGCAATCCCCATTCACACATCATATAAACAACCTTGAGCAAGCATTCACAATGTCGACTAGCAACCAAAGTCGTCAGACAGCCCGCGAAGCCCTCTTCAACGAGGGACTTCAGATCCGCAAACAGGTCACCGGCGCCCAGCATGTGCAGCGTTCGTGGGACAATGTTTCCGACTTTTCAAGGCCAATGCAGGAGCTCGCCACTGAAGCTGGTTGGGGTCTGATATGGGGGCGCGATGGCCTGGACCGGCGGACTCGTTCTCTCCTCAACCTCGCCATGCTGTCGGCCCTAGGCAAGAGTAACGAGCTAGGCGTTCACGTCAGAGGAGCACTAAACAATGGCTGTACCGAAAAGGAGATTCAGGAAACGCTTCTTCAAGCCAGTATATACGCAGGCTTGCCTGTTGGGCTCGAGGCATTCAGGGTGGCGCAGAAGGTGGTCGATGAGGAGAGAGCAAAGCCGAGCGAAAAGGGGGAGACAGCTGAATTGAAGGACACGGGTATCGCTAGCTAAGGTCTAGTCACGACAAAATTACAACATGTGAACGACCAGTTTGTACCCGAAACTCCTTCTGCTATCAGCGATTTCAAAAATAACTCTTTTATTTCTGCCGAGCCAAAGTGCCATGCATGTCATTTGATTCCCGCAGGTCTCAAAGCTCACCAATGATGTTCTGTGACTGCTCATCCATAACTGGTACAAGTTCAACTCCACTGTTCTCATCATCACTCTCAATGACGGAGACGACGAAAAAGTCTTCCACAATGACTTTGCCCTGTTCAATCTTCTGAAGCATGTCCGGCGTACACGTACTGGGCTTGAGCACGTTGCACCTAGATGCGGGCCGCTCAGGGGGAACATTCTTGACATCCCACGTGCTCTTGGGGCCGACGGTGACAAAGTCATCCGTCACGGGCTTGCGGCCCTCGGCAACGTCGAGACCAAACATGGCGCGGTTGAAGATGGCCAGCGCGGCCTCGGGCTGATAGCTGGGTACCTCATGGCCGGATTGGAATACGCGCGAAAAGCTAAAGTTGCCAAGCTGACGCGTGAAGCCCTTCAACACCCCGTTGTCGGTCAATAGGGGCGCGTAGCCCGCCTCGGCAAAGTCGGACTGTCGACTATAAGGGATGGCGAGCGAGGCGGCTTCGCCGCCCATCCAGTTACATGCGTAATCGCGGTCACCATACATCATGTGGACCTATTGCGCGCAACTTGTCAGTCTCTTGAGCGGTTCGCTATGATGGGGTCTCATGTGATGGACGCTGATGCTCGTGGTCTCATTACCTTGACTCCAGTGTCCAACAGGTATCCAGCAGCTTCCAAGAATCCGCCGTGAATGATATCAAAGCTGGCTTGAAATCCTTGGCCAACAGCGCCCGAGTGTTCACTGTAATTGACTGGAACACCCAGAGCAGATAAGACGGACTCTTGTGTCAAGTACCCATACACTGATGATAAGCCGGGTTAGCTTGTCACAGATTCCGTTGGCACATAGTAGAATAGAGACTCCCATGTGCCCCCATTGACGGACGAATGAACCACTTACTATAGGGTGCGGGGAACGGGTCTGCGTTGGGGTGACCAATATCGTACCAGGCGTGGTCAGTACTCTGGTAAGTTGCAACGGCTGGAAAGGAACATCCCTCAAGCACTTTTTCGCACACTTCACGCCAGTCTGTACCTTCAGTACGTGGCTTTACTCCATCTCTCTCCTTTAGTGCTTCCTGACAGTCAATAACTTTGTCGTGGCAGCCGCCGGGCTCTGTCCAGTTTTTCAAGAAAGTCTCATAGATGGACTCGTTAAAAACTTGAATGCCATAGGTCTGGTTTTTTTTTCCCCATCGCACAGTCAGTAGTCATCTCGAAAATTGAGAGGGATGTGAGGTTGATTTGCACACTGTCTCTACAGAATTGTGCTGACCACTCACATTATTGTAGGGAAACTTGATATATGCTTCTCCCTGCACTGCCATGTCGAGGAGACCGTTGACGATACCAAGCGTGTCAAGGTGAATGTAATGGGCCCCTTCCTCGGTCGAGTTGCCATTGGCAATCTTCTCGTTTTGCTGCTGAAAGAAGCTGAAAATGCCAGGTCCATAGTGGCCACCATAGCTCTCAGCCCACAGGCTCACGCGGTCATCGCTGGGCTTGTAGTTGGGGAATTCGAAGAACCAGGTCTGCGCAAAGTGCCACAGCGCATGTGCCGCAAATGCCGTTGTGTTGGACGTCTTGGTCACGTCCTGACTGCCAAAGGTTCCCACACGGTACGTCAGGTTGGACTCTGGCACCGGGCCCTCGGTAAAGTTGGCCGCAAAGGTCATAAATAGGGCCTCGCCGTCTTCTTCGACCAAGCGCATGGTCCCGTTGGTGGCCACGTCGTAGGAGAAACCAACCTGGGCGGGTTGGTCGAGGTACAGCATGTTGACCTCATTATTCCAACTGTACGGGTTCAAGTACGTAGTCTTTGAGTCTTCTGCAATAAAGCAAGGTCCATTCTCCTCTAGTAAACTAACACAAGAGTCAGATCGAGGCGACAGAGAGAGAGGGAAATGGCCATCAATTCGCCTGCCCGAGCAAGCTATGATGGACACCATTTGTTTCTCTTCTCAGTATAGACACAAACCGGTACTTACCCCATCATGGATGAACCACCGGGACCGCCATTCAACCAGATTGCCAAGGGAGCATTTTGTGGATCCGTTCTGGCTTCAAAGAACCAGAAGAACCTTGATGCAATCAGTACCAGGGTACGTAAACATGAACACAAATCATGGTAATGATCTTAAGCTTACGTATTGATTGGATAGTCTTGCACCTCGCCAGTGTCTTCGTTGAGTAGACCGGGAGGTAAATGTACATAACCCGAGTAAGACTTGACCCCCGGGGTGGTCTCACAGATACCAGGCTGCCAGGAGAGATTTGCGTCAACAAAAGCGCAAGAGTGAGGCAATTCGAGGGGACAATGGTGATTTACCTCCTTGTACGAAATGGTTACATTCTCGTGAAACTTGGATTTGAGAAGGGTGATGCCCTCGAGTTTGGGGGGAAATTGCGCACAAGCTAGGCCAAGCAGGGCGCTCAACGTGAATTGTCTCCAGGCCATTGTGCCCGTCAACCAATTGCTTTGAAGCACAATGCTGAGCTGACTGACAATGGGGAAGTGCCTCGATTGAAAACGAGGAATATACAACGCTGCCAGAGGTTGTGGTTGAAGAAAAGCCAAGACCACGGCCAGCGCCTATAGATTCAATGGATGGATTGGGGCTCTATTTGAAGGCGCGGATACGTTTGAGAGGTCAAGGGCGAGACGCGAACCTGTCTTGGTTATTTATTGCGGGGGCGAAGATGACTATATCATCTCCAAAGGGACTATCTACAGGGGTTGGTTGGACCATGTCTGTCCGTACATACGGACACGGATCTACTCCGAATCCCGTCATGTTGGATCGGCATCGGCGTTAGTCGAGCTAGGCAACCGTTTTGCTACAAAGTCTCATTGGCTGCTTTGGTTTGGGTAACAGATCGATATCAATTTCAGGCACAGTATTTCCATAACGATTTATGTCAAGTGTCGGTTGGTTGGTTGACTGACTGGCACTGACTTGAAACACTGGCACTGAAAGCATCGGCATGTCAATATTCACCAACCAGCAGAGGGGCTAGCTGAAATTGTCTGAGCAGAAACATGAATGGTTATTCCATCCGTCTTTATTCGGACCTTTGCCTAGTACTGATGTCTGCCACTATATTCTTGAATTGTGAGCCCAGAGCTTCGATAACGACATGGACATTTGGGGGCTCAGGCGTCACATCAGACTTGGCCTGAGGCAACGAGCTGGAGTCCCAGACATCTTTGCTGGCAAGAGCACCCGTTTTCCCCCTTGCTTTGACGTCTTTCACGTCCTTCCCGTGCCTGGGTGGCCCCGAGGGTTTCGACGGTGTAATGAGCGTCTCATCAAGAAGCCACTGCCACCGTGCGTGGTACACTCCGGGACCTTTCATGCTGCCCAGCTTTGGGTTGTCTTTGGTATTTTCCTTCTGTTTTTGTAAGCCCTCGACGATACTCTGCAGCCGTTTGTTAGACTGTTCGTCAAGGGTCGCCGTGTATGCGTCGTATGCATCCAATGCTTGCGCGACCGTTTGCTGTGTTTCCTTGTCCAAGCGAGAAAAGGCCGACCTGAGCGGTTCGCTCATTGAGCCCGCACCATCCATCCGATCCGAATCTTGACGCGAGCCGCCCGTGTGTGCATTCGAACTATTCTGTCGGAATGATTCAAGTACATTGTCCTTTAGCCAGGCAAAGAACTTGTCCCGGACCTCGGGGCATCCCTTGGCAAAATCATGAAGATATTCAAACCACCATTTGCGATGGCGCCGAAGCAGGAATACATAGTCCTCTATCGACGGAGGAATCAACCCTTTGGATTTGTCCCTCCTGGGCTTGTTCACCTCGAGGAGTTCGTCAATAAATCTTTGAGAGTTGGTCACGTATTTCCTCAGATCGACATGATCATGAAGTATACGAATTATGGGGTCAAAGGCTGCCACGGCATCCCGTATCAGGGAGGTGACATAGTCTGGGCTTTGGCGGCACATGACCTGAGTTATTTTCTCCCTGTCCTGGGCAGAGAGCTGCGCCGAGTAGTATTCCAGCAGCAAAGAGTGCTGTTGCTCGGTCGGCTCGGCGCTGCACTTCTGACTTTGGGATTTCAGGATTGCAGACACGATGGATTCCTTCTCTTGGATGCTCTTTTGCCGAACCGCGGCGTGCTCTCGGGGAGTAGCATTGAGATGTGCATCTATGGCCGGAATGAAACCAGACTTGCTGAGTTCCTTCTTGTTGCGGATGCCATCAACAGTCTTTTTAAAGTCGCCCGCGTCCCAACCAAGGACCATGCCGATTATTCTGAGAGATACCGTCAGTCATGACTGCTTGGGGGAGTGTTTTCATTAACATATATATATGTATATACCTTTGCATCAGATTCTGGCCGTCGGCTGCATTCTGCGTCAATCCAATCCAGTTGGTCAAACCTCCAATGCTGACCTTGGCCAAGAAGATCCTCACGAGGCCGGAAATCATGGTAGCTGCGTTGCCTACACGCAGAGTTTGGCAGACCAGAGAGTATGGGATCAACTTGTGGGTGCTCTCAATGAGTTTCAGCATGTACTGGCCCTCGGGCGATAAGACAAAGATCTTGTGCAGGATCGTGGCAGCATGGATGAGCACATAGTCGACAGCATCGCTTACAGCAGGCGAATGGCTCTCGAGATCGGGCGACTTGGCAGCAAGCTCAAACATTTCATCGAGGAGTTTTCCATAGACGATATCGTACACGACATGGTCCCAGGCCTTCTCCAGGCCGGTCGCCGTGCTGTGTTCCGAGGTGAACCCGGGCCCTGCGTCGTCCGTCCTTTGCGGAACCCCTCCAAGCATGCCGCGGGTGATGGACTCGTGGAATGCCGAAGCTGCAGTGGCCAGAGTCTTTCTAGTACCCAGTGCGCCCTTGTCGTAGCTTTCAGAGAGATCTGCCTCGGCAAAGCTCTTCACTGCAACATGTATTAGCGGCCGGAGTTTTTTTTTTTTGTTACATGGATGGATGAATTTCAAGTATTCCCTCTGGGTGTTTTGTCAGAGGGTGCTTGTAAGACAACCTCGAACAGATATGAAATCAACAAAGCAGCTGCTTACTGATGCCCCTGAATTTAGCGTTCCAAAAGCCAGGTTCGAGATCTTTGATGCCCGGCATGGGCAATAGGAGTCGTGTCAGCAGCAACTGCAATAACGGTGATGATGATGATGCTGATGATGACGACGACGACTTTGACCTGTCTGCATTTCCATGTTTTATGTCCTTCTCCTGATTGAGGCTGCTGCTGCTGCTGCTGCTGGGACAGAAGGGGAATCCATAATTGTCAATGGCATCTGGATCCTTGAAGCTCTCCACCTCAGCATATGTCTCGTGGTGAGTGAGAATGTCGAATAATGCTCGTAGCTGCGGGGCTGTCAGCAGCAAAGGGTCGGAGGACATGACCGCTAAGATCTAGATTTCACAAATCTAGATGCGACTTTAGGCGGACGGAGGAAAAGATCGTCAAGGGAAACGAAAGTTTAAAAAATAAGGACATGCTTAAATGGAAGAGGGAAGAGAATGGTGAAAGATGTCGCCGCCGCCTGTTCCCTACAGCAGTGGATTAGCGACCTGGACAAAGCTGCACCCTCAAAGGCTAGTGAATCGATTAGCAGCTGTCTGACTTCTCCACACACCAATGATTCAACTGTCCCTCGTCTGCTTTGTGCTCCTTTTTTTTTTGGCCCTCACAATCCGCGGCGCTGTTCTTCTGAATTACTGGTCTCTGACGTCATGCAACAATACTTAGAATACTACTAGGTAACACACAATCCAATTTGGTAACGATAAGAATGGTGGTGACAATGATGACGGTGATGCATGTCTTCTCCACATACAAGGTCGTTTGAGCCGCCGTCCTACTTACTAGTTCTGGATCATGCAATGGAAAAGATGAATGCCGGGCAAGGTTGTATTATACTTATTCTCCTCTCTAGGTGCACAGTAGTTTTGGTTTAGGAGGGGGTGGGAAATGCGCCGCCGAGAAGGACAAATGCCCCTCTTCTGGAAGCCATCGCTCGACTACACTGCAACCTCCTCTTGATCCTCTGCCACCTTGTGTCTGCTTTCCTGGGCCGAGGCAAGTTTCCGTCATGCACCTCATCTTCACTAAGAAGAATATATATCCAAGTTGACGATACCGAGGCCATCATCCATTATTGGCAACCGTGCCATCAGGTGCTCTACATTGTATTATCCACACACGCACACACACATTATGGTATCATTGAAGAATGGTTCCCAAACCTGGTGGTCGGCGACAGGGTATGCCATTATCGGAGGAGACAATGATAAACTATACACATGTCCACGTACAACTCGTCCTCTATGCCTCGTTGCCTTTGATCAGGCCGTCTACCTTTGTACGCATTCGTTGACTATCGCCACCCAGATTCGGACCACCTAAAATCTCAAGAAGAGGCACGCTGCCCTTTCACCCCGCCTGCAAGAAATGGGCAACAAGATGATGATTCAGAAAAAGTAAACTGTCAAGATTGCAAAGTCTCAAAGTATTCAGGCAAGTTGAATAGATCAAATATTACTCAGACGGCTCAGTCAGCCTAGTGGCCATCCCCCTCCCACTCCTCCTTCTATATCGCCTAGGCAGTGAACCTGGCCTGTCAGGGTGTGGTGACCAAGTTAAAGAGTAACCATGCTACTATTCTTTGTTGGTCCAAGACCGTTTCAAGGTTTTTTTTGGTTTTTTTTTGGTTGGGTTTCTCTGTGATAAAGACTTACCAATAGAGGTTCGGTTGTACCTAAATAGTGATCGAGGACCATGCTTGGCTAGATATGTATATGTCATCCCCGTCAAATTGGGCGTCATATACCACTTGGACCAGAACCTGTGAGAAGGTCGAGCGCATAATTTATATTACTTCAGATTACTGCTTCTTTTTGCACCTGTCACAGTTTTACTCCGGGGTTACAAACAGACTTCACCTCCAAGTATCACATAATGACTTATCCTAACGAAACTTTGACAACACAACACCGAGTTCTCCTGATGGATAAGAAACAAATGCCGGGAGGACGCCAATATTCCGAAAAGCCTCGTTCTCTTGGTTCCCGTTTTCCAGAACAAGGTCATAGTGACACGACTGTCCACATGAATATTGCAACTATCACTGTCTTCGCTTAGAAAATACGGCTTGATGCGTCCAAAGTCTTGCTGCCAAGATTTTGCGAGAATTTGTGTCTAGACATACACCAATTTACATGATCCCCAGTATGCGAATGTATAAATCGGCTGTCAACGCGATGCGTTTTTACCTTGGTTTCTTGGCCATATGTTTCCTGGGCTCCCTTGTTGATACCGTCGCCGCCGCACCCACAGGGAACACGGACGGTCTTTCAACCCGATGGTCTTTCTTCCAGTGGCCTCAACACACAAGTTCCTCTAGCGATAAGTCAAATCTTAAATTCCACTTGAGTATCCGCGAGACATTCTTTACTTCTTACTGCTCGGTCCTCTCCATCCTTCAGCTTTCATCATCCCTTAGCACGAATCATCGTGCAAATTGCATCACTTGGGACTAGAGAACCTTGACGACAAACCCCTCTCTGTAACAGTCAGCTGCGTACAGGCGATGGATTAATTCTAAATTTTAGAGCAGCCAAACGCGTCAAAAAGAATGGCCATTTGCAGACTGACAAATCCGTGCCTCTCGACTGCCAGCTAGCCCGTCACCTCAATCTGCGGCCCAAAGTCGACTGCCAGTATACCTGGGAGCACTGGTATGGCGAAAACGAGCTCTTCTATTGGATCCGCATCGACCTGTCGGGCCAGGATACTCGCGGCTGATGCAAGGGCATCTGGGACAACATCAAGGCCGAGTGCAAAAAGAAGGCCCATTGCCCTTCAGACGTCAGTGACCCCCCGGAATGCTTCAACAATACAATCGATGCAAGGTTGATGGCTACACCCTCTACGGCCTCGAGGCAACATTGACCATTGACAAATGGGGTCCCGAAGACGATAATGTGCCCTGCATCACCAGGGCCATAAAGAGGGCTAGCTGCGAGATTGATCTCGACTTTGCTAGTGGAAAGTGCTACAAAAAGGCGAGGGTCTTAGCAGTATCCATATAATATCGAGGGTCCAATTAGCAAAAATCTCCTTCAACTTGGTAAACTGGAAGGCAACGGCTTGTCAGTTTGTGACCTAGAGAGAAAAAGGATGATAAATAAGGCTGCATGAGTACTGAAATAAGAATCATATTAGTTCATTTTCCTCATGGGTGGCGGGTGTGGTTGCTTCAAGTATTTAATAGTTCAACGTGATTGCTGATGGAATTCCCCAAGCGTCACAGAAAAAACAAAGGATCATGCTTGCAGGCCGAAGAGTCATGGCAATTATAAGTTTCTTTTCAGAGTATATCATATGATATATCATTAATTGATGAAGCAACCGACTGCCGTGGTATCGTAAGCACTAGATTATTTATATATATATAAGTCATTGCCCGCTATCTACGTAAGGAGATGGATGTAGATCGCGTCCGGCGCAACTCAAAGTCTTTTGTATCTTGACCCTATCCATCTCTAGCTGAACTCGCCGAGTCGGGGTCCGAAATAATCGCCGTCGTTCAGAGTTTTGAGAGTGCAAGCGCTGCCTTCGCAGCCATCAGCTACGACGTCGTTGCCCCACCACTCGAGATCAACCTGCAGCCATTGCAGTGTGAAGAAGATGATAATGGCGGCAATGGCAATAGCAGAGCTCCAGGAAGCGGAAAGCACAAAGTTGTACTTGGACCAAAAGGCAAGGTAGCGCCTCTTAAGGTAGATCCACGAGAACCAAGCAATCGGAACGGCGGGCCAGATGTAGGACAAGTTGTAGGGAGCCCAGGTCAGGGCGCCGTAGAATAGAGCCACCGGGTGGATTTGACGCAGCCACGACTGCTTGCGGTATCTCTTCTGGACAAAGTAGAAAATGATGGGTACCACAAAGCCCAATGGGAATCCAACAAGTAGTGCCGTGTACAGACCACCGGCGCCAAAGACCTTGACAGGGCCAACTGTTCCCCAGAGCACTGACGCAGTGAAGAAGGTGTTGATTCCAGGGCAGGTGAAACGGTTGGGAGCGTCCACGGTACAGACATCAGGGATCTGGTTCATCTGGAAGTTGAGAACACCAACGCAGACAAAGGTCGAAATGAGCGTTCCGATCATTTGAGCCATGAAGGTCTGGCGTGGCGGAATCTTGACGTAGTGGGCCAACTTCAAGTCGTTGGAGAACCAAACAGCGTGAGCGCATGTCACGTAGCCAAAACTCTTGAAAAAGTTCATGGCCAAAGCATTGCCCTGAACCCAGGAACCACCAATAAACTCGGCCAGCACATTGAGGGTAACCTCGATACCGGTCATGGCCTTGATGATGCCGACTGGGATAACGAAAAGAGCACAGAGGGCAAGACCGTAGAAGACAACGCCCACAGAGGTGTACGTTTCCCAGTTGGCGATACCAGCACATCCAAGGGCAATGGCGACGACGACGACGAGACTGTACCACCATTCGGGAACTTCGGCATACCTATCCAGACAGACGCTCATTAGCAAAAAGGAACCAAAAATCATCAGAGGACAAACTCGGAAAGATAATTTGTCTGCACTGTCATGAGGCGAGATGGATTGACTTACTTGGCCATCAATCGGTTGTGCACGTCAGTGTATGTGCCTAATTCGGTATCCTTGTTCTTGCGGAAGCTGTTGAACAGGTTGCGGAAACCCATGGCAATCTCATATCGGTGGTAAAGATAAGCGTAGCTGACGGTGGCAGAGTAGATGGAAAAGAAGAACATGTACACTGTCAAGTTTCCAGCAGACAGGAATGGCGGCGAGTAGTCGGCGTACTTTGCGGCGTCGAACAGTGCGCGGTCGTCAATGGCCCTCGAGACGTTGTAAAGAGAACCAGTGTTGTCGAAGACGCGATTCGAGTTGATAGGGAGATAAGCTGTATTCCAGGCATTGCTCCACCAAAGCGCAGCAATCACGACACATGCGATGCAGGATCCAATGAACTTGTTCATGGTGGAGAAAAATGGAATCATGAGGGGATCGGTGTTGTCAAACAGCAAAATGTTCCAGTCAAAAGTTGGCCAAGGATTGACGCCAAGGCCGTTGTTGAAACCCGTCACGGCCGAGAGGGTGGTGTTGTTGGGCGAAATCCAGGACAACCAGGAGAAAACGCTCAGAGCGGTGAAGATGTACTGTGGGAACCAGAAGTATACGAACATGGCGGCAAAGGTAACGCCAAAGAACTTCATTCTGGTCATGGTGAACAGTCTGCCGAACGGAGACTCAACTGGACCAGTCTTGTCATTGTGGAAAGCCGAGTTCAAGGCGATAGTCACCAGACTGGCAGGCCAAACGCAGTACGAAGGGTACACAAGGAATCGGCGGACAATTCCAGCCATACCGTAGCCGATGAAGTTGGTGGCAAGGGCGATCAAGATCTGGTAGGAGAACTGGCCGGCATAGCTTTGATTGAAGTAGGTTGGCAAATATTGCACCCAGATGATGTTGTTCGTGTACGGGTCTGCAAGTTTCAAATTGTTAGCAAATTCTCTCGTGTCTGTACTGTACCACCTCGAAAGGAAGCAGTCTTACAGTTCCAGCTGACGTTGGCCATGATGGTGATCAACATGTGTTCCTTCTTGCTGAACTTGCCAGGGTTCAGACTGTGGCGAATGCCCCAGAGTGTGAATCCGACGTCGGGCAGTGTCTTTTCGCAGAATTTGCCAATGGGATAGGCGAGCAACTGGGCCACGTTGGCCTGGACATTGATGGCCGGCTGACGGATAGAGAATAGCTGGTTGATGAAAGCCAACAAGATGGCAAAACCAGAACCAATGACCCACTGCGCAATACATGAGCATGACATGACAAGACTTGAGACTTTGAAGGTACTCACAGCACGGATGGTACCACATGGGATACTGGGGTCGTCATGGTTGTCGACGACGGCTCTGACTTCGGCGTAGGGACTGTTGACTGTAATCAGGGAAGCCTCCAACTTCATCTCCTCAATCAACACGCCATGCTTCTCAGGGTTTTCAAAGATATCCTCGTTGCCTGGATTTTTTTTTTTCTGTAATTAGAGACAAGGCCATGATTGGGGAAACATGTGCAAGCCTTGGAAAAACTTACCCAAGAAAGCTCTGATTCTCTCAATGATGCTAAAGGGAAAGTTGGGATCCTTCTCGTGAATGGCTAGGACCTTTTCCATCATGGGACGAATCTCCTCCAGGGTCAGGTTGCCAGCCAATTCCCTGGCCTCCTGCAAATCCTGTTCTGTGACATTGAGATCCCTATCGAATGACAAGTCAGTGAGTGGGCGACAACAAATTGCAAGTTAAGCACAACAGCAGGTGGAGCGGGAAGAGAAAAGAAGCAAGGGGGCAGGGACATACGTTTCGACCTGAGCATCGATCGGGAGCTCAACGTCGCTCGACCTGTAGCCATCGGCATCCTTCTCGTGAATACCCTCCGTCGTGTTGACACGCTTGGACTCGATTTCGCTCGACATGATGGCGGGCGAGGCAAGTCGGCTCGAGCGAAGAGATGGTGGGGTTGGGAAGGAAAAGAGGTATTCAGAATCCCTCGATGGAGGTGTGGAAGCGGCACCTCTAATATGTATGCCGGGTCAGGCACGCAGATGGTTAGACGAACGAATGAATTTCGGAACCAAGCGTGTGGAGGAACGTTATCGTTACATGGGGGTCCCTTCGCCTCCTGCGACTTGTCCGCGATGATAACTGCAAGGGAAGGATGGGTATAAGAGTGGCTATCTCAGTAGACAGACCAGACTCGGACCCCAGAGCCGACGAGGGAACGAATCTGGACAACCCTTGCCGTTTCCCGCCTGGTGGGTTCGGCCGTATGCAGCCAATCCAAGACGGGAGAATCTTGGGGTGGGTAGGCTCTGTTCAGGGTCTCGCAAGTGCGCTCAAGTGAATAGCGGGCGCAAAAAAAAAAAAAAAAAGAGAGTGAGTGATTGAGAGAGTGGGAGAGAGAGAAAGAAAGATAGAGGACTTTTGGTAAGGGTTGCTTTGCAATGGTAGGTAGGCAGGCCGGGGACAGGGACACAAACCTCTCTCTCTCTTTGGCTATCTCGTGTGAAAGGGTCTCGCCGGCTGAGTTAGCCTTCTTTTTTTTCTTTCTTTTTTTTAATGGCATGCAGTAGGGGGAGGGGTGTATGATTTGCTCTGGACCTGGACCTGGACCTGGACTTGGACTTGGACTTGGGCCGGGAAGAGTGTAGGTAGGCAAGGTCTGCGGCGCACCTGTGGTACTAGGTAGGTATTATGCCACTTGTTGGATCTACCCACTCAACCACCGAAAGAGTCGCTGGGGTGCTCGGGGCCAGAAGGGATTGGGAGGGGGATGGTGGGTGGGCAAGTTGCAAACTGGGGGTGGATGCCAAGCTACCTGAACCTGACCATGTACCCTCACTTACGAACGAGCAAGCAGGCAGGGCAGGGTCTTCCGTGATCTTGAATGGCTAGAGCAGTCAGCGGGAAGATGGTGCGCCGGCTTGACCCCTAGCTCACTATTTGCAGGCCTGCAGGCCGCTTAATGCTAAGGGGGGCTCGGCAGTAGATGATACCCAACCGACCTTCCACTTCGAGGATCGAGCAGACGATATAGCGGATCTCGGCGCGTCCATTTGCGCGTCAGTTTCAACCGTTCATCGGCTTCAGTGCCAAAGTCAGTCGGTGATCCTGGCCCTCTTTTTCTCCGGAGTCTCTTCCTTTAGTGCATGGTAGTTAAATGATACGTATGGACACTAGATAAGTCGTGTGGCGCGTGGCCGTTGCCCGTTGCTTGTTAACCCGTCACGCCAATCATGGGTGGTGGTGGTGTGTCTATTCAAACATCTAGTTGGAGGGAAACAAGGGAGATTCGACGAGTCGTACGGCAACGGGTATGAGAGAATGAGGGAATTGGGGAAACATCTCTCACCTCTTCCTATCTCTCTCTCTCTCTCTCTCTCTCTCTCTTTTTTCCACACATCTTTGCTTTTTTTTGGTTCTTTATTTTTGAATTATGTTCTGGGCAAGTATCTACATCAAAACCGTAGACGTAGAGGTTAAAAAAAGAAGAAAAAAAGAAAAAAAGAAAAGCCAAGCTAAGGAAATAAAGAGGCTTGAGATTCCTTCAACGACGGCGGAAGAAGAAATGAAAGAGCATGGATTGGATTAATGCTAGCGCCACCGCAGCATGCGTAGGTCTTGTCAAGCCAAGCAAGCTTATTTCGCTGCCAATTTTGCTAAATTGATTAAGCACAACAGCGGCACAGCACTGGCAAAAAAAAAAAGCAACTGAAGCGAAAGAAGAGGATGAAAAGGCAAAGAGCTTCACTCTTGGCAGGCCTCAAGTTGACCATGGGTGATGGATGAGCGGCTCAACAGCTAGCTGCCTTTTTCTTTCGCCTGTGTCCCGTACCTACCTTAATGTAAGGGCGTGAGGGTAAGGTAACAACAGTAAAGTACCTAGGTTAGGTATGTGTAGCGGTGGTGAGGTGAGATCTCTCCAATGGGGAGGCTTGTGGTGGTGGTACATTGCACTTTAAGCTTCTCTCTTTTACTTCTTCGCCTTTGTTCTTTTGAATTATTTGCTTTTAGATTTACCAGAGCCACGGAAAGCTCATCGCCTTTACTACTCTTTCTTCTTCTTCTTCTTCTTCCCGGCCTTGGCATTATGACAATGTTTCTAGCCGCCTTGACCTTCTCGCGAGCTGACTTGACTTTTTTCTTCATGAATGAGCGGTCTAATAACAGTCGTAATCCGAGCTGGAATTTTCACATCTAGTGTAGTGTTCGTACCTGGAGCAAGATCAGTACTGTCGAGAAATGGGCACTTTAGGGGCCCCACGCAACACAAGCGTCGGCAACACACGAGATGGTGCCAGCTACTAGTGTACAACGCGATTCGGTAAAAAGAAGAAAAAGAGTACGCACGACCACATGCCAAACATAACTGACTCAACCTGACTAAATGACTGACAGGCATACCCGACATGCTTGCGCAAGGTCAATCAGTCTCCATAATCCGTTTGCCGCGATATCTCCCCATTACTACTTGCTTGCCTACCACTACTAGTACTCCCACCAACCACGAACCCGGGGGTGTTGCAACCACCACTCATGCCCGCATAGTATGAGGTAGTATGTAATGTAGGCACTCCATAAGTAATGTACTGGAGGCACATACAATATGTACGATGTAGGTAGGAGTAGTGGGATTGTTAGCTGCTTACATACCTACCAGCCAGTCCGTCAGTCTTCCCAGTGTACCTACATACTACTTGCCTTGCTTGCATTCAAGGGCTTGCCTCGTCTTCTTCTATTGAGGCTCCATCAATTTTTTGATGATCATCGCCCTCGACCCGACGGAGTTCGGTCCAGTCATTCATTTTTCACCTTAGTGCAGCATCCTTCTTCAGATGCAACGCAACCACATGGCTCGAGCCTCGGCGGGGCGCTCCCAGGGAAGAGTGAATCGAGATATAGGCCCCGTCCGCTGTCCCACCGACCGCTACTAAATTAAGTATACTTGGCCGACAGGACATCCACTTCAAGCAACCTGAGCGCCGCGACACCGCCAGAGTTATGATTACCTATGGAATACCATACTTGTTGGTGCCGTGCATGGCAATCAGCTTGTCAATCCATCACCTGATGATGATTGTCGTTTCCTTGGCGTACAATCTTCGAGTGTAATCATCCATTACCCAGCCAGCCCACTTGCCTGGTTGTCTAATCCTTTACATGCCCATTCATTTGTTGAGTGTCTAGGTACCGTGTACTTAGTTACCCAGAAAGCATACCGTCGCAGGCGGAATAATGTTTGCAAATATGGCAGACATGATAAGTGCCTACCAAGACTTAGTATCGCTCACCACGGATTTCCACCGAGGTTCTATCGTAATCAGGGACATGCAATACATTACGTATAGTAGGGATCGAGGTGATCTGCTACCACCGTGCGCCATAAGGTGAGATCAGTGCTAGCTCACGCCCCTCCCGTCAAGCCCGTCAGTCATTGGCAGCGGATATCTAATTTCTTCCAAATTCTAGGGAAGAATTCTCGCCCTCTTCCCCCCGGACGAAGATCAGACTCAGCTGAAAGCTTTGCGATGGCAATAGTGATAATAATGCCATACAACATTGGTAATATGACAGAAGCTATAGAAACAAAGGGAGGGACAAAAAGAAGCTTTCGCTTGCTTCAAGACTCTATTCTTCACGTTGACAACTCTCGGGATCCTGTACTGCTACTTTAATGCATGGCAGAGAAGCAATGTCGCGAACAAGCGACAGAATATCGTTGGTTGGCGTGCTCTCGCTTCAAGGGTCTTCTTTTTCTTCTTTCGGTGCACCTAGGCAGGCAAGGTATGTAATGTATGTACTTACCTACCTGACACGAGCTCCTCTACATGGTTCCTACAGAGTACCTTCTTCCCCGCCAGCCACGCCAGTTCTCACATCTGCAAGGGCTTGCTTTCCGCTGGCGCTGGATGTACACTAGGTAGTTGGGTGCTCTGCATACAAAGTGAGTACGGCACTGTGTATGCATACTTACCCAAGGTAATATTTCTAATTACAATGTACCTTCTAGCACTCGAATATTCCCTACACCACCGCACAGAGTCCATTGTACATGCCTTATCGACTACCTACCTACTCATCAGGTACACAGATAACCTCTTTCCATTGTCACCTATGTAAGCTACAGTCTCTACGCTCAGATAGTGTCAAGCTGCCGTTCAGTCCTCAACTGACTGCACCGTTTCCCGAATCCAGAAGCAACGCTGAGACATGCCAGTGTGCACAGAGGGGGGGGGGGGGGGGGGGGGTGGTGGCCGCTACTCGTCGTTCATTGGCTAGAGAACGCCTGTTGAGTCGCACGCTCTCACTTGTCAGCTCTTGATTCGAATCAGGCAGGTGGCGGTGATACTTTCAGTTGCATGCGATAACAAGCGAGCCCTTTGGCTTTTGCTCGCCCCAAACGCCACTGCACGGCTGGTCGCATCTAGCCTCATGTTGCCAAGTGAATGGTGGGCTAGGGAAACCATACACTGAGAACAGATAGGAGGAACGATCGAAGAACGACCCCGTCACTCATCGTGATAGCAGACACATGATCATGAACTAAGACCATCCGTCTGGATAGATAACCTGTCCATGCCTACGGAATACGTAGCAACAAGCGTGCAAGATACATAATGAGCAGGCCATCTATGATCTCTCAGCACAGCGCCACAGAGGCACAGCAACGGCCCTCCACACCCTCCTTTCCCATGGACTCTGCTCACTTTTCGGGCAGCGGGGTGAGGATCGATCCATGATCTGCAGACGTGCCGCCTTCCCGCCTGAGCTTCTCGAAGCACATCATGCGCAAACAAAGTTTAGTGGCATCTGTCTCTGCAGTCTCCAAACACCGCTATGCTGCTCGTATATGGCACAGGGCGTGTTTTGTCAAGTCTGTCTCTGCTGCCTACCATGTATTATTGATTGACTGCGATCCCGCCAGCCTACTTTTGGTTTGCTGACCTCCCAGGCCAGCCCAGTATCATTGCCCACTACGTACTCTGTAGCTGCAGGACCCCGACGTTCACCGTTTTGTTCCTCTTCTGTATCGGCGCACATCCGAGTCGCCACACAACTACATAACCCTCCCTGCAGGATACTACTGCTTCCAGTACGTGCGATTGGCGCATGTATAGATTTTAAGTCCTATGGCTCCCGAGGTCATGCGGAGGACTTCTTAGTCCCATTGTCACCATGGTGCTTACTTGCCTTACCCTATTACCCAGCAGCAGCAAAGTCGCCCATTTGTTCAACAATACCTTAGTGCCAATAAACTGGTGCACATTATCTTGAACTAAAAGGTCTCTCGGTGAATCTCCGTACTATGTACGAACAAGAATGCTTGGCCAGAATCGAGGTCGTACGATTTGCTTGGGGCGTCCCATATTCTCCTTGGCAGTTGCTCCCACATCCAGCTCGCCAAAAGTCCCAGTCGCACATCTCCAATTCATAGCCATGGAGCTGAGATGTTATCATAGCTGCGATCAGTTGCAATGATTCGCCTCCTGAGTCCTGCCCAGTAAATGGACGGGCAACCATCGTACATACACACAAAATCTCCTCTTTTTCCAGTTATCAGCTGCAGGGTAAGTAAACATTCACCAATGAGATTGGTGGGATGTAATGCCTATTAATCAAGTTAGTTTCCCGCCCGCCTTGTCTCACCCATCTAACGGTCAGGATGATATTGAACGCTATTTGCGCCCAAATGACAAGGTATGCTTTCCCGTTCGAACCTCGGATGGCTTTGGCTCGTCTTTCTTTGCAGGGGAACGAGATCAGCTCGCTCACCCACTCACCCACTCATCCACCACCTTACGCGAGGCTGGGATAAGCGGTGCTGAAAAGATTGTGACTATCGTAGATGCGCTTGAGATCCTTCAACCGTTCGGCTATCTTATCGCCGTATAAGCGACGGGTGTCAGCCTCCTCGTTCGTTGTCCAACTAACATAGGTCCGTGGCAACGCGATCCCTGATTGCACAATCCTTTGCGAGATCTCCTCAACCCATGCTGACACTTTTTTATATTCGCCGCTAAAAAGATCAGAGTCAGTGGCCCCTTCCGGAAAATGAAGCTTCTTGGGAAATCAACCATTGGTCGAGCTCCTGTGCCATATCTTGGCCTTCGTATTGGCGATATCGTCTCTCGAGAAATCACTGATCGGATAAGGTAAGGACATTATACTAATAGCTTACGGAGTTTCAGGTATCCCGCCCTCGCCCCCAGGAACCGTGCTCCCCGTTATGCAAAGAATTGTATGCGGTTTTCGGTTTGGCATGCAAGAGGTACTCGTTACTGGATCCTCGCAGTGTGTTGAGTGAGGATACGTTGCGGCGCCGTGGCTGCGATGAATGATAACCATGGATGAATTGCTTGGAACTGGACTCTGAGCTAGTATTGCTGCCAACTTCTTGCTCAATCCGGAGACGGTAAAGGTCTGCATCCTGGCTTTCATTGGCGCCGAGGTCATTGGCTGCATAGTGCTCATCAAGGCGACTGGTGTTGCTAGCAGTACAATGTTAGGCATGATGCAATGTCTCGGTGTGGAAGCTCTAAAGAATACCAAACGGATGGTTGTACTCGTTCCAATGTGGCATATTGACAGCCTCTGGCCAATACCATAGATGAAGAATAGATCGAGCACTTACTTTCATCAACAGTGTTAAGCAATACGGTGCCTAAACCCTCGCATCTGCTGAGTACTTCTCGTGCTCTTTTGAGGGGATCACTACCACATCCATGTCTTTGGGCCCATGAAAATATGATGGCGACAACAGCGCCCAATCCTGGCATCTATAAAGTATAGCAAATCAGCCTCGAGAATTTCCTACGAAGGTACTGGTGCCCTGGACGTTGAGCTGCGCGCCAAGTTCCCAGTCTCTCCCCGGTTGACTCACCTGGCCCACTGTGCAATCGCCACTGAATTCATCAGGGGATCCCACCTCCTCCGTAACTTGCTGTAGCCCAGTCATTACCTGACCAATCTCAGAACCAGGAAAGAGTATCATTCCGCCTAGGTAAGGCGGCCTCTCATATACTTTGACGCGCATGCTGACAACGACGCCAAAGTTCCCAGTACCTGCCCCGCGAAGAGCCCACAAGAGATTCGGGTCAGAATCTGTATCGACAAGATTCCCTTTGGCGTCGACCAAGGTTGCCCCCGAGATTTGGTCGACTCCTAGACCGTAAGGCCCGGCGAGCACGCCGTAACCACCGCCAGCCGCCCAGCCTACGTAACCCACAGTATTACAATATCCGCTAGGTGTTATGAGGCCATGTTCGTCGAGGAAATTGATCAGATTGCCGCCGCTGACACCTCCTCCGATTGTCACAGACTGCCGGTCGGACGAGAGGGTGATTGAGTCGAGGCCGCGGACGTCCAACATCAAGCCATGCTGGATAGTCGACCGATTAAACGCATCGTGGCCACCGGAGCGTACGACAAAGGGCATCTGTCGTCCCGCCTGTTGCCCATTCGGGGTTTGTCCCGAGCAGAAGCGAATCACTCTCTGCACAGCTGATATGGAGAAGCAACGAGCTACTGCGAGCGGCTCAGCCGTGTTGTTCCAATTCCAGACCTTGCTCACGGCGGCAAAGTGGGGCGAGCATCTCGTGTAGAGGAACACATCATCATGCCCCGTTAGGGGCAATAACTCTGGCGCTTCCAGAACCACATGGGTTGAAGTCGAAGGCTTCAGATGAGTGAAGCGATACTTGGGAGGGGCGCAAAACGCCATCCTATTGCTTTTCTCTCAAGACTTGGAACAGCACGTTGCCTGCGATTGTGGATATTCCCAGGACCAGGAGTTTCAAGCTTCTTATAGGACAGCTTGCCCCATCCTGAGTTGTTAGGTCTTACTGCGTAAGCTGTCGTCAAGGAGAGAGAACCTTTTCTACCTAGTCTTCTCTAGCGGCCAAAGTTTATCATTACCATGATGCCTAGGGTTAGTAACATTGCCACAACAGGTATGCTCCTCAAGGGTCAGACAACATGCACCATCAAAGAGACGGTCTCGGCAGACGAAGAAGCAAATCTCCACATCAGAGAGTAGACGTATGACAAGTAAAGGCCGCCACAGTCAGCATCCATTGGTGTCTAAATTAGTCTTGTAAGCTCTAACAAACAAGTGTTCCCAACGGTAGCGGGACCTTTCAATGTAAATAGTTTGGCGCTTGGGCTTATGCTTAACGAGACGTCGAGCCAAATATATCCCTGATCCTTTATTCGCCAACTACCTAAGCCCTATGGTTGTGGCCTCTCAGTACGTCTCTCACAGCTTCCATGGAGTGGTATTCTGCGCTTACCATTGCACAGACGGATTTGTTGGGTTGAAGCAAGTCGCAGAGTATAATCACACGGGTCTGTATTTGTCGATGATTCCAACCTACAGTATCCGGCTTGATATGCAATCGCAATGAAAGGGACTCTTGGTAAAATAGGGCATTGAGGACAAGCATGAACAATATACTGTAATTTGCACGCCCAACTTGAGCGGTACCGGATTACTCGACGTGTTTTAACCAATCCGGACATTCTTTTCTCGCTACATGCGCCTATTCCAGCCATCTCGGGGCGGCGCAGCCACGCCTACTAACAGGGGTATTGTGTGTAAGTAACTTCTTCATACTGAAGCCGACATCTTTCATGGATACCATTCGCCACATATTCCAGTCTATACATTTCCATTACATTAAAACAGAACGTGATACAGGCGCTTCCATGCAGGCTGGGCAGCCAAGTGGCGTCTGTATTCGTTGATCTCATCCCAGTCAAGCTCACGGCGACCGGTATCAACGTCCATCTGGCTAATCTTGAGCCAACCTATCATCGTAATTAGTTAAAAACCGATACATAAGAGCTGAACATATAAGCGAATAAGAAAGTAGCTTACCTTCACGCTTCCAGGCATAGCCGACAGCCCAGAAGAAGAGAACGACGGGAGCAGCAAGGTAGGACTCGAAGAAAGCTTCGGCGTCCATGGGCTCAACAGCAGTGTAGAACTGGGCAATGAGCACAAGAACAATCAGGACAAGACCGAGCCAAGAGCCGTAGACACCTCCAATGGCCTGGAAAGGGATCTCATCCAGAGTATGACCATTGTACTTCCAGGCGGAGCGGAAACGAATGTGCGCCAAGCAAATGGAGCCCCAGGTGAAGAGGGCGGCAAGTCCAGACAGAGCCTGGAGCCAGGTAAAGACGGTAGTACCGCTGGCGCTCAGGTTGACATAGGCGAGCAGACCAAAAATCAGGACAGCGCTGACAGAGAATAGGGGCCTGCCAGACTTGTCGACGTAGGTAAAGATCTTGGGAGCGTATCCTTGCTGGGCTAGAGCCGTCAAAGTACGGCTACCTCCGTAGACGGCCGAGACACCAATGGACAGGACCGAAACCAGGATAACGACGTTCATGAAGCTGTCAAAGCCCTTGAGACCGGCGTATTTGCCAACCAGGACAAACGGAGAAGCGTTGACGTTGATGTAGGCGTTGGAACCAAGCAGGTTCGGGTCGTCGTAGGGGATCAGCAGGCCAACGAACAGGAGTCCCAGGACGTAGAAACTAGTGAGAAACAGTGAGCATACAGATTTCTTTCGATTTTGAGTCTTGAAGTCATTTCTCTTACAGTGTGATACGCCAGAAGACTTGCTTGATGGCACCAGGCAAAGCCTTGACTGGGTTCTCGGACTCTGCAGCCGCAAGACCGACAAGTTCGGTGCCGCTGAAAGCAAAAGCAGCCTAGAATAGTGGTGAGCTTCCGGGTCGGGCATTGAACAAGTGACAAAGAAGCACTTACAGTGACGAAAACGGAGCAGAAACCCAAGAATCCGTTGTTGAAAGCACCAGGCTCGTACCAGAGCCGAGCACCCCAGTATTCGCTGTATTGACCGTTGGAAGGGCCACCTCCCAAAACCATGACGAATGCGATGATAAGGAAGATGACGGTTGCCGATAATTTGATGACGGCAGACCAGAACTCTTCTTCGGCATATCCCAAGGTGCCAAACAGGTTTGTGATGAGAATCAAGACGAAGAAGACGGTGATCCAGACACCGACGCTGATCTTTCCTTCCGTGTCCCAATACCCAATGGTCAAACCACACACAGTCAGTTCAAGTGGCAGCACGACAGCCCCTGGAGATACCTGGTTAGTTATGGGGTGGCCTCAATGAAAGGACGGCGGCCTCTTACATTGCATCACGTAATTCCAACCCATGGCAAAACCCCAGCTAGGATCAATGAAGCGGACAGCATATGTGTAAAAACCACCAGAGACCTAATGTGTAGTGTGAGCGACAAGACCGAGATGGGAGATGTTACAAAATTGCGGGGTGCTAAAATCCATGGGATAACTTACAGGATACATGACAGCGAGTTCACCAAGAGCATAGACTGTGAGGTTGAGTGTAAGCTAACAAATCGATCGGTGCGTGTATCCAACAGTTACGACTCACCGACATTGAACATCATGATACCAATGATCAGGAAATCAATCAAGAGAGAGCCGGGTCCACCTTTGGCCAGAGCACCACCGGAACCGACGAAGAAACCAGCACCAATGGAACCTCCAATGGCGATCATGTGCAGATGCCTCGGTTTCATGGAGCGATCCAACTCGACAAGGCCATGGCCATAGTCTCGCTTCTTGAAGGACTCGAGGTTAAGACCATTGCGGGTAAACCAGTTGTCTGAGCGAACAGCGCCATCCTGATGGCTATGCTCATGAGCTGGGGCTGAATAGCCAGGAAGGGCTCCGTCCTTCTCCAAGGAGGAGTTGGCTTGAGCACTTTCGAGCGTAGCCATTTTTTTCTGTTTTGAAGAAAGCGAAGGGAATCTCGCAATCAAGAACAAGAATACAAGGAAAGGTCAATGGATGAGACTGAAGGAGGTAGACACGGGAGGTGGCCACGCGCAGGGCAAGAGGCAGTAATATATGAACGGGTACGGCTTGAGAGTGTGGGGACTCGTAATAATATAAGACGACGGGAGCCGCGCACTCTTGGGGAAGATGCCGGGGCGAGCCAAGAAGGCGCAGGGAAAGAGAAGAGAGAAAGTCCCAAAGAAACGGCCCTGCGAGTCGGTAGCTAGCTTGGAGGTGGCCGTACCTACACCTACCTGGGTTACGTGCTGCTAACCATGCCCCCATGCAGATCACCGCGACCTACTATGTAACATATCCCTCTCCTCCAAGGGACCAAGACTAATAAAGGTAGTCTTGGCTGAAGGGGGTGGGGATCAGGATCCCACGTTGGTAACTTGATCCTGTCGAAATTTTGCCTCTCTCGATTCGTCTCTTCCGGAGCTCACTCGGTCAAGCCACATGGCGCGACATCTCGAGAGAGACCCCGTTGGAAGGGAGGTCGATCCGTCACGACCTAATAATTGTCTATCTATTCATGTACACAGTAGCTATCTGAGGCGTCTCCTCTATGGATAAAGCCATGGGTCTTTGTGTCTCTCTTTACTTGCTTTGACAAATACCTGTTATATATCATCTCTCAAAATCTCCTCCATGTTTTTTTTTTTTTGTCAGAAGACATGGTGGCAATTGAGTATTCCTTCGGATCTCTCGTATTGTAGTTAGGTACAGAGGAAATAGGCTCGCGTAATGCCGGGTGCCAGAAAACGGGGAAATGGTGCGTTCGTTGTCAGCGGCGTCAACAACTTTCTTTAGGTGCGGCATGACCGCAAAGGGCTCACAGCGTCAGGCAGCTCCAGAGTACAAGGTGCTAGGTAGGTAACACGCTCTCTTCAGCTCACTGATTAGATGATGGGGTTTGACGTATCATATGCCGTTTCCCCGGCTCACAGGCTGTTACCAACAGTAATTGCTTACTGTCATTCAAAACTTTAAACCCTTTTTAACCCGAGGCCAGAAAGACCTGGACAGGCGTGTGGAGATGGATGGAATGCTGCTACTATCAGCTATGTAGTTCATCCGAGAGCTGCTAGCATCATTATTAGTCGCATATCAGCTACACACCTTGCCAATGTAGGCTGTGGGGAGAGAGCATTCTTGTGGTCATAACCTAAGATAACGAATGAACCCTTGTAGGAACCAATTTCGGGCGTGACTAGGGGGGCCCCTCGAATTGCTTGGATATCTGGGTGCTTGGCCGCTTGGCTATAAAATTTTCCTTCTTCCTATTCTTTCTTGTCGTTTATGCTTGTAATAAAACCGCGTGTTCATTTGATTTCAGTTCGCGTAGTAGTCAAACATGATATGATTGCCATCCTATACCAGACGTGTCTAGCTTGCTACCTAGGTAATCAGTCCGTTTCCTTGTGTCCGTCCATACAAGCAGCCAAACGCATAGGGCTGGCTGTCCACTCGTATGCACTACTGCTGGTAACAGGGAGACAAGCATGGGCCGAGCCCCTTGCGTCTGGGGAGCGCCACAAAATGGGTCGATCCGCCAGCCGTCGCAGAGAGGAGGAAGGGCTCGGGGGGAGTGGGAAGACGAGAGGAGGAAAAAAAAAAAAACTTAATCAATTTTGGTCAAGTGCTCCAGCCATCAGGAACGTTGCAAGATCTGTTATGCCAGCTCGCATTGGACAGTCCCCGAGTACGCGCCCATGGCCCATGCGGATCTTAGGCCTTTTGGCAGCATTGGCACACGTAATAGAATCAAATAAAGAAAGCGGAGAAGATGGCTAACAAGATGGGGTATGTCTGGAGGCCTGAGGAACGACACCACTGTGCCCCGTTTCACTGGACAACTTCATCTGAACAACTACGTATCATGTACCTCTCTCTGCTCACAGTATGCGCAGACCCTGAGAAAGGGCAAAATCTGACCAAATGTCCTGCAACAAATTTCTCTGCCACCATTCATGTCACTACCATCATCCGCTGTGCCTTGAATAGACTCGGGACTGGGCTGAACTTAGATAGAGTAACCAGAAACTCTCCGGATGCATGTTTATGCTGTTCCCCGGTATCCGCCTTCCGGCGGTCCCCGCTTACTGGCGGCCCTTTTTTTTTTTCAAAATGCTACCATGCACTCGATGCTGTTTGGATGGGCTGGCTCTCTTTCTTGATGGATGCCGGGACGCCTGCTGACCTGACTGTCACACTACATGCATGGAAGGCTACTGGAACATTACCTTGAATGGACAATCAACCGACTTGGCCGCCATGGCGAATTCCTTAGCCTTCGGCCTTAGCTGCTAGGCACGGAAACTACAGAAAGTCACGCGTCGTGATTGGGAGCTGCTGAAAGTCTTGGTCGAAATTCAAGCAAGAGTTTTACCGGTCGTCTTAAAGAGCAGGAAGCAAAAGCTGACCATGTCTCACTATTGGAACCAGAATCGGCCCGTAAACTCACTCCAAAAAAGTCTTTGGGCATCGTTCGGACGAAGAAAAGATAAGCTGTCGAGGGCTTCTGTTTAAGCAAATCCATCTTGTCCATCAGCTCTCCTTCCAAGTGTTGGAATATGCAGCTCGCCCTTGTCAGCTGCAGACTAGCAAAGGTTACTTTGATACTACAGGACACAAAAGCCTCGAGGCTCGAACATTTCAATCCACAGTCGAAAGCTCATAATAATGATCAATTATGAATCAGGTATAATTCAACATAGAGACGTCCAGCATTTACAGTGAGGGTTCTCGCGGTCGGGTTCCGGCCGGTTTCAACCGGCACCAAATAACATGATCAACTTTCTCACCCTCTCCTCCAAGGAAGTTATAGCGTATTGTAGTTAGTAGGCGTGTAGTAGGTAGATAGTAGATGTGTGCCCGGGTCTTCGGAGCGGATGAAAATGTTATATTATAGGTCCCATCATGATTATCTCTCCGAGCATATCCGTACATGTGCTTGACGTCGTTTTACTCCCCATCTGTGTAAGATCTACTTGCTACACGCAATCCTGGCTTGTGTAAAGCCCATCATGGTATAGATGCGGGCGCGCAATCTGGTGCTTGCGGTACTGGGTAGATACACCAACCTACTACGTAGTTTCACAAATTTCTTGCAATCCGTTCTGGCGGATCTGGACTACGGAAAGCTCCACTGTTCGCATGTCATACCGCACAGTACTGGTAATAGAAATAGTAGATAAGTACGTGATACCCGTAATGTAGTATAGAGCTGAGAGCTATTTTGGTGGATCAACAGTGAGATTCAGGTCACGGCGGATGCGAGATCCTCCTCCTCCTCCATGCTGCAGTGCCTGCTCTCTGTCCCCCGGTTCTAGGCTTTTATGGTGGAGGCCGCGGTTGCGCGGTTCATTACCATGGCTTCGTTTCGACCGTTATCAGTTGTGGGACTGCCATTAGCTAGCTACTAGGTACGCATTCGACGCGGCATGATGGCGTGGAGCCCCCCCCCCCCCCCCCCCAACCAAATTATTAGTGTGGCTCCATCGAGATAGCAGCACTTCAGCCCAGAGTTGTAGTATGGGGTTCATCGATGAATTAGGTAATTCCAACCTTCCACGGCTAATCCTTGTTTAGCATAGGCGGACTCGATCTTGAAAACCTCCCATTCACTACACATCACGAAGATGTATCGTCGGTATACTACTCATCAGTAGTACTGACTAGTATATCACCTATTCACACAAATTATTCACCGGTCGCACCGTAGAGCTGGGCGAAATACGCCAGTTCCTTTCCCCTTCGCTCATCCCGCCTGTCTGTCAATGGCAGTTATCCTTCAAGCCAGATGTACGCGGCGATGATATGAGGCAGTGGCCCCAGAATTCTCCAAGCAGTATCCTTTGAGGCTTCAATGGGCCACGCTCCAGAGCGGGCGGCAGCTTGCTCGCTCAGCCAATTCCTCCATTCAAGATCAACATCAAGCCATTCTCCGGGGGCTGCAGCAGGGGCAGAGCGCCCCATCTCCCGGCTACTGGCCCAGAATCTGACTTGCCTCAACCTTTCCTTCTTGACCTGAAATTATGACCGTGGAAGAGCGTCAGAAACCTTGATGACATCCTCGGTCGGTCGGATGGAGGACAGGAGAGCAATCAGAAAACAACATGTCATACCTGGATCATCGAGTCGGAATATTCCCGACACGCAGCCATGAGAACTTTGTGGTCACGAAGTTTTCGACTGGGCAACTTGTCGTGCGCCTGCAACCGCTGATCAATTTCCTCCATTAGTGATCTGACGAGCTCGAGCTCTTTCTTACAAGTCTCGATGTCTTGCTCTAGGTTCGTTGCAGTCGCGAGTAGCCAGCCAATGGTTTGCGCGGATCCGCGCTTCCCGTCTTGCCCTGAGACATCTGATTCACTCTCGTTCAATGGCTTCCCGTAGGAGAACTTTGCTCTTTGCGCATCTTTTACTTTGATAACCGAGAGCCGCGATGGCTCAGCAAAAGTCTGTCTCTTGCGCTGTCCGAGATATGTCTGGATTCTCGCGTTACGTGCCGGTGATTGCGTGCTGGCCATGTCCATCTTGTGTGAGCATTTCAAGTCAAGCCTCGGACTGTCTGAGTGGGTACCCCATGAATATCATTTGAAACTGTGGCACATGTCAAACGTGTTGGTTGAGTGAGGCTGGCTCAAAGGAGCAATGCTGTCAAAGCCCCGGTGACAAAGGAGTTGGCTAGTCAGAGTTCAAAGAACAAAGACTGCATCTATGCCTCCATGGGCGCGCATCCTTCTAGAGTGGCAAGCAGAGCATCTGTCTTTCCGCTACTGCTCTCACTTATGTAAGGTAGAAGTACCCTCTTAAGGGGTCAGAGATACGCTGCCATCATGCTCACTGCCCAATATTTCCTTGGGTCTTGTTTCGCGACAAATGCCAAGTCAAATACAGCTTAGTTATCCCACCTTTATTGGATTCCAGACACCCTCCAACTACTAGCTGATCAGATAACTCGCACCAACTTACCATGTGCTGGCGGTTCGCCTATACCCATCGCTGCGTCATCTGCAGAGCATCACTAGCAGCAGAGACTTTGCCCGTGACATTTCCCTGTCGGATGGCAGAGCAGTCTTCGGGAGAACAAAACAAAGAAGGAGAAGCAGAGCGAATCGGAAGTGGTTGCCGCATAGTGCAGAATGAGGGGGAGGCCATCGTCCATGGGTGCCCAGAATGCGAGAAGACGGAAAGTGCCAAAGGCCTTGCTTACTGGGCAGCAGATCTGAGAACGATAGAGGCAAAACAGGAAGCACTGATGAGTTACGTGAGAAGAGGAATGAGGAGTGATGAGCCACGGCCGTTGCAGTATTCAACTGATGCGGTAATCACGGCAAGAAGACATGTTCGGCAGTCATACTATCAAAGAAAGCCACAGACCAAGACATGATTAACCACGAGATTCCTCTTCGCCATGCACGGGATTGTCAGCACATAGTCAGGGAGACATGACCACAATCTATCCAAATCAGCACCGTCGTCGCTCAGCTACGCCGCGTTCTTGGATACCTCCTATCTATCTTTATATAAACGCAAGCGTATCTTTGCAAGTCTCTGGAACAAAAACCCAGCCTGAGCTGTCTTCATGTCGTACTTGCTGGGGCAAATCGACGTCGTCGCCCGCTTCTGCTTCTGCTTCTAGCTCCGGCTCCGGCTCCGGATACTTCTTGATGTGTTCCAAGGCCCATATGAGCTCTTTGCTCAGCACTGGTGGGATTCTTCCATCTCCCTCGAGCGTCCCAAGCCCGGCGATCTGAAATAGCCCATTCAGCCACTCTTGCGTCTCTCCCTGATCCCAATTTATGCCATGAAATGGTCTCCGTTCCCTCGTGGTCTCATTTTCTCTATCAAGCTCCCATTTCTTCTGCTCCTCGATAGAAGGTAATTGCGCAGCATTTCGGTCTGAGAAAAGCCTGGCTAAAGCAATGGCTTGGTATTCCCAACTTCGAAAGCTCAGTACTCGCGGTACACCAACAATGGCAAGTGTCTTGAAGTCTTGGAAAAAGGTGTGCCAGTAGGTGTTTATCAATTTTTCCGCTTGATAATCCCACAACGGGCGGCCGTTGGCTTTGCTGTTCCAAAAGGGAAATGATGGCTTGTACCCAGTGCAGTAGATGATCCTATCAAGATCTTCCAGGTGTGTACCGTCCTGGAATATAATGCGACCGTCCTGCCGATATTCCGTGATGATTGGTTTCCAGGCAATGCCCGGTGGAGGCTCTTTGCCGTCCCATCTAGACTTGGATCGCCTTGACTGATACACTGGGAGTTGGGCGCTTTTGAGGAGCTCAAAGGTTATGTCATGACCGGATGCCGAATTGCCAATAACCAAAACCTTTTGATCGGTAAAGACTGTTGGAGATCGATAGTACTTGGAATGCACTACCCGCCCGGGAAACTTGTCCATGAATTGTTCCAATCCATTGACTTGCGGAACCTTGAACGCCACCAAGTCAGCGGGGATGAGGCAATACACAGTAGAAGCAAGGCTAGAGGAGAACCACATACATAAGGGACAGAATAGTGTCCATTGGCCAAGATGACAGCATCGAATGTCTCCTCCCACCAGATATCAACGTGTCTAGCCGTGTCATATTTTCGCAGCGTCAACTTCCACTTATCTTGAGCGTGGTCCGAGTTGGAAGAACTGAGTTTCGACACGTCCTCGACTGTCGTGTTTAGTACCAGGTTCCTGTCAATGCCATGGGTCGCAAAGTAATTTTCAATATATTGACGGGGGACATAGTGGGGTGCAAATGGTCCGTAGGCAAATTTGGCATCAGAGAAGCTCATGGCAATATCGGGCACATTGGTACTAGGTACATTTAGTGGGATACTTGAAGCGTTTTCAAGAGGCACAATCTCACGTTAACGAATCATAGACTGGTGTTTTTGAATATCGTTCCTGCTTTGATGGAGACAAAACAGCTGGGAGCTGGCTGGGAACCTCCAGGGGCGGGTCAATCTCGACTGGAAGAGCGCCAGGATGGACAGCCAACGGAGGCTGAGGGTCTGCATCATAGATCCTGATTTCATTAGATGTGACTGGTCTTATTACTCTCAAACAATCATGGTCTTTACCAGGTCCCGCCAGCTTTCTCCCTCCGCTCGAAAACGGTAATTTTGTCAAAGTAGTTTTCGGCTTTGAGAGCCGCGGCCGTTACCGCACCTTTTTCCGTTTTGTTAATAGGAAGTGGACATTTGTAAAAAGTCAACAGAAGCCACCCAGACTCACCAGCCGCGCCGCCGCCTACAATGGCGACGGATTTGATTCTCGACTCTTGTGGCATTATCTATAACATCCACTGTTTCACCTTGCATCATACCAAGGTAAGAACAATACAAAAAAAGACCAGAGAAATTATCAAGAAACAGGAACCTCACTCACTTGAGCTTGCTTCGAGATTCATCCACGGCTCACGGCGGGGAAGGCAGCTAGGTTAGACAAAAGTCGCAATCCCATATCACTATTTCACCATCGCTAGCACGTGATTACAAGTGGCGCCCGCATTATCTACCAGTATGACTGCACATTGCACGATAATGATGCAATTTATAACATGTCATGTTCATGTTATGGCTCCATAATCTATTAGACGTAAGAGGGTCGGATGTGTATCTCTGACATAGGCCGACTCCATGCGACCAGGCTGCTTTGATTTGTCATATGGTCATTTGGACCCACGTCAAAACACTCTTTTGTGAGATGTATAGTCGAACTAGAAATATAAAGTTCGACTCCTCCAATGCAAACGCGACGTATGGCGTGTTTTATAGCTGGTTTGCTCCAGCTTGCTCCCAGAGTTTACCTGAGTATCCATCCAGGTGTTTTCTAAAACCAACTAAAGGACATATCTAAACCCATTGACCCTGCTCTCAAAGGCCGCCTCCCTTGGCCCTGCTTCCTCTGCTTCCTCCGCTTCCCGCGCAGCCTGCTCACGAGCAGCGAGCTTCTTGTTATCTCGCTGTAGTACGAGGCGCACACCAAAAGCCATGATGGCCACCTGCGAGTTTTGTGAGATCAAACGAGGTCAGTTGCCTTCAGGGACCAGCCAGCACTCACAACAAGGGCAACTGCAGCCGTTGCGCTACCACCAGCAAGGTATCTTGGACCATCAGAGGAAGGATACACTACAGAAGTAGAAGATATTTGGTTAGGTGTTGTTTGGGTGATATATGCATAACAAGGGATTGCGTGAGATATTCCTCTTACTGTACGATCCATAGATGTTGGCACAATTTCCAATCATATTGGCAATCGATATGCAAGCCGACCTTTTGACCAGGGGCCGGGGAAAGCTGTTGGATACCCAGGCCACGATGATTTGATAGGCCGAGACTGCGCCCATTGGCATGAGAAACATTGCAAAAAAGCGTGCCGCTGTCATAAGGGTTGCTTTAGCTTCTCCCGCGTTTGTCGGACGCAGCAGGCAATGGGACTCAACTTACCAGTATTGAGCGACGAGACAACAATAATGTTACCAATGACCGATATGAACATTAGGCATATAATATGTATGCTTCTGTCGTGATACTTTCCAGACGTATACGTCACCACGAGCGACACGAGAAAAGTCCCAATCCACACCGGCGCCGTGATCAAGAGTGTCTCAATGTTTCCATACCCGAGTGTCTTGACAATTGTCGGGAAAAAGTACTGAAAGGACTGTGAGAGCAAGCTGATGTGCTGGAGAAGGGTGAAGAGATATAGTCGTGGGTCCTTGAGAGCCAGCATGACACCCTCCTTGACAGACGCCGCGCCACCCTCGTCGGCCTCTCCGACATCATCAACGAGTCGCCATTGCGCATATGCCTTTTCCTCTTCCGAGAGCCACTTTGTTGTTGCCGGATAGTCGGGCAGGATAAAGGCCGCTGTAATGGCCACGCCGATTGTGATGACGCCCTCTATGATGAAGAGCCACCTCCTGTCAGAACGCATCAGCATTTTCAGAAGCATCAAGGGTCGCGTGTGACCAAGGTGAGTCTTTGGTTTACCATCCAGAGATCCCGTGGGCTCCGCTCAAATTCCCCAATACGCCGGCTCCGAGGAGGCCACCAAAAGCGTTGGCTAGCGAAGAGCCTGCATAGAACCAGGCGATCCGATGTGCCAGTTCGGCGCGAGTATACCAGGAAGACATGAGGAAGATGGCGCCAGGAAAGAAGGGCGCCTCAGCGAATCCAAGAAAGAAGCGACAGGCAATGAGAGCACCAAATGAGTGCGTCGCGGCTTGTGATGCCGAAATAGTTCCCCTGTGTTTTCCCCATGGTTTTGTGAGCGATCTTCATCACCGTGGGAGGAGCGACACGTTGGCTGGACCATGTAGACTTACCAGATGGTCATGACGCTTCCTAAGTATAAGGATGGCCGCACCCGCGTAATGATGAGATTTGATGGCAGTTGCATCAATAGATAGCCAACGAAGAGAATACTGGTCGCCAGGTTAAAGTCGGTGCCGGTCATACCTAGAGCGTGTAAACATTACGTCTAAGCCTGTTGCCCATCTTTGTTGGTTTGATGGCGTACCGAGTTCAGCTTCCAATGTGCCAAGTCTTGCTTGTGACAGATTGCTGACCACAATATCTGATTTAGCACAATCTTCATAGTGTCGCACACATGTGGCGACGCATATGGGCATCTGGAATGGGCTCACTTTCGATCCAAGAAGTTTAATAGATACCTATAATCGTATATATCAGTACCATGTACCAGCTTTCTAGAATATGTGCGGATATCTTGTCGTCTAAAATCTCTAAGGACACCAGACAAACAGCGCAGACAAAGTATCTCGTCGCGAGACCGTGGCACGCTTTGAAAAATGATGCGACAATCTCTCTCTGCCCTTGACGTACATGAGAATCAGAAAAGGCAGAAGATGGAAATCCACCTTTCGTAGGAGCCTCTTGGTCATATCGTGATGATACTCTGGTGCCGAACTTGCAAACTGCTGTTGCAGCGCAGTGGCGGTCCCGTTAGCCACACTAGCCTTGTGCTCGAGGCCGATTGCCTCGGCCTTGTCGACGCCCGCCGCATCGTGAGTGGCAGACATCTTGACATGAGATTCTGTCGAGGAAAGCCCAAGGTTTGTCCGTATTTTGTGTGAAGAAGGAGAAACAGCAGAAACAAGCTTATCTATTTGCTCGGCTGTCTGTCCTGCTGACCTGCCGGCCTGGGCAGTGAAGGTCTCCAAAAAAAAAAAAAAAAAAAAGAATTGAGGCTCAAGTGTATAAAGGTAGGTTGGATTGCGTATGTCAAGACAAGAAAAGGGGACGCGACGAATCCAGATAATGAATTTGATGCAACGACAAGAAGAAGACTAACTGGCTGGCTTATGGAGTAGATGATGACACCCCGTTCATGAAATCCTAGACCGGGGGCAACATCGTACGTCGATAGGTACAATTTTAGTCAACTCGTCGTCTCACTAGCCAACACATTAGTCGCGGGGAATGTCGATCCCTCGGGTCCGGGGAAGAGGGACGCGAGGCGGGGGATCGGGGGCGGGGAGACAAAGCGGT